CGTCGTCTTAAGATCGTGACTTACTGTCACCCCAAGATCCTTATTAGAACCGGACTACTGGTACTGGCACTTCCGCTTTGCTGCACCTATTAACCTTTGCATTCCCAAAGTGCATGTAGACACACTTTACCGTGTTGACTGGCATCAGACACTCTTTAGACCAGTTAATCATATTATTTAAGTCTGCCTGAAGTGCGCACGAGTCTGCGTCTCCAGTTATTACTCGCCAGATTTCTAAATCGTCAGCGTATAATAACATTTGGGACTGTACTATTCTTGGGAGACTATTTACATACAGTGTAAAAATTAAAGGACCTAGGACGGAACCTTGAGGTACTCCACTAAGTACTGGTTTCTAGGTGGAGCACTTGGAATTTATTCTTACTCTCCACCTGTGACCTACTACGAAATTCTTAAGCCATTTTGAAAGAGGTCCGACAATATCAATGTTTCCTAACTTTAATAACAGTCTATTACTTGGCACCTTGTCAAAAGCCTTATTGAAGTCTATATACAACATCTACTGAGTTTCCGTTGTCTAGCGCTTTTATCCGAAATTCCCTTATTATAAGGAAGTTCGTTGTACAGGACAAACCCCTTTTAAAACTATGTTGTTTTCTGTTTAACAAGTTATTGGTTTCCATAAATGCCATTATGGTCCGTTTGACTATTCTTTCCATTATTTTACCTATAACACTGGTGAGGCTTACAGGTCTGTAGTTTGATGGAAGTTATCGTGGTCCTGTTTTGTGTATGGGAGTAACGATTGCGTCCTTCCAGTCAATAGGTAACACACATTGGTCAAGTGACATGTTGAATATCACAATCAGTAGGGCCGCGATATATTGTGCAATATGTTTCTAGATTTTGGGGTGTAGTCCATCTGGTCCTGTTGACTTTTTCATGTCTAAGATTCTAAGAGCCTTAAGTGCATCGTCTTGATCGAAGTCCATGCTGAGCAGGTGATTTGTTGACTCTGTATTTGGGTTTGTTTGTTTATCTAGAGGAGGTTCCTGCATGAAAACTGCCGTAAAATACTATGTTTACCAATTTCTTTTTCCTCTTTTATCGTTAATATACCTAGGTTCCTGCCTGGAAGTATTGGTGGTCCAGTGCTAATAGACACGGAAGCTCGTTAAGCGAAAGCTTAGTCTATTCCATACACAACCGTTTGAACTATTTGGATATTGAAGCCTTTGCGCGTATTATAATGTATGTTGCCAATGTGGTCTATCATAAATTATTTGGTAAACGTGAAATATACAGCCGAGAGAATGTGAAGTCTCGACTCGTTTTAGGAAATTTTCAAAAGTTAAAGACGTTTAAATGACCTCCTATTCTGGCGACTATGATTATGATTACTGTCCTGACATCAAAGCTGTCAGTTCGTGATGAGAATCTTAGACGTAACCGCTAATCCTACTTACTAACACATAACTACAGCCGTATATTAACATTTGGGCCATAAACATGCAGCAGTATTTTCGTTCCTTATCGTTTTGGCTGTATACTTTTTGCTTATCAATAATTGTTGACTCATCGTTGTCGATGATTGATGTTATTCATAATAATTCAGAAGATCATTTTAAAATGTTCGAGCAGATTAAGTATAGTTTCGTCCTATACTTTTGCTTTTCTTGAGATTATAGCACCAGTCTTCAGTAGTAAGGATAAATCTGTTGACCTGTATTAATCCTTGTAATTTGTTACACTGCAAAGGTCCAGTCTCGTTTTTAATTTATCAAAAGAAGGTGCTAATGTTACGTATTCCGGTAGAAATTTCCAGTTATTCACCACTTGGTGCGAAAAACGGGACTCCAGACTCAAACGATTTGATCTCGGTTTTTGAACTTTATTGGGATATCCTCACAGGTGATCAGCCCTAGATGGAAGGAAAAGATAAGACATATTAATACCAAGGACGCTGTTCAGCATATGATAAGCCAACATCAGAGCACCCCGTATTCCGTGATATGATGGCGGAAGTTGAGATGTCTCAGTCTATCGTCTTAGCATATGCCAGAGAGACTTTCTAACCATTTTGGTCTATTGTCGTTGGACTTGTTCTAGTATATCCGCCTCATACCTAATTTAAGGACTCACTTCTTGAATACCATATTCCAAGTGCGACCTTATCTGGTTTGAGACGTTGAGGTTATATTAACACAGTTCCTTTTTCAATAACTACAAGGCCCTGATCACGATTAATTGTTGGTCGTTCCTCTTTGCCGGTATAAAACATCGTACTAAAATGTCTTGATCACGTTTCAGCTTTTTAGGCACCATTTCTTGCCAACATCAAGGAATTTTGTTGCGCCAAAATTGGTGGGATTCAATCACTTCCCTGAGTTTGCCTCTTTATATACGAAAATAACCTTTTCGGACTATTTTCACAATCCATAAGCAACTGTTTTTCATGGGGCTCTCTAATCCTACTTATCAACGCTTTACAAGCATTCCTAGTCCTACAATAATTGAATATATATTTTCTAAGCCTGCAGAGATGAACACATTTCAATGCATTCTCCTGCGTCTAAGAAGTTTCTTGACTTGCTTAGTTATCTATGGTGGACAGTTATTTCGTGTGCGTGGTACTAAGCATGGTATAAAGGAGAACGTAGTTGAAATAAGCTTACATTTAAATATATACCATGCTTTTCAACTGATGAGCCAGTATCTACTGACCAGTCTGTTTTTGCAGCTCATTCCTGAATGGCTGATATGTTTGCTCTCCATCTCAGTCAACTAATATCAGGTGCCTTAAAATCTCATATCAGGCACTTGTTATTTTCATTTTATGGTTGAACGCACTCTAAAATAGTCATCAGCTAAGCAGATTTTACTACGATAGAAGACGAAATATTTTTGGTGTGTTTCCTCTTAATGCACACCTTATTTCCGTGATGGATGTCTCCCTTATTTCGTTCCTGTTATCTTTAATTCCCTTGACGGCAGTTCCTTTACCATTGCCCAAGGTTACTTTTGTGTACTTAGTTTTGGGTCACATTTCTTCAGTCTTATAATATTACCGAGTTTCTAAAATCAAGTTAGTTTGAGTAATGTTTTTGAGAGAGGAGAGTCCGTCCTCCCTCTCGGAATGCTCTCACATGGCCATGTATGGACAGCCACTGTCAGGGAAGTCCTACTCACTGCCTTCTCGCGGCTGGGGTGTTGCTTACGAAATTGAGAGGACAAAAAGCGGATGTCCGAGTTATTGGATACGATGGGTCCACCTCGGGAGTTGGAAAATCTTGATTTTAAACTAGTTTTGCACTTGGGCTCCAGGATCCTAAGGAAGCAAGTGGTGTATGAAGCTATTGTTGGCAACCGGTCACCATGGGACTGTATCTCCTAACGCTGCACCACTGCCTTGTGGATTAGACCTTTAGGTCAAAGGCTCTGGGTGTGCCGCCTTAAGGAAACTAACTGCTCCGGTTTGGGCGCTCGAACAGTATCATAGCCCTCACACAAATCTAATGACAAAATGTGGTGCATATCTATTTGTGTTTATGTGTTTAAATAAATAAAGTAGTACTGAGCCCCGGGTCAGGAGCCGCACTGATTGGTGTGATTCCTATTAACAGTCATTTATGTGCTGTTAGATTAGAAAGCTGGGTAAAGGTGAGAAGAGATTGGTAAAAACCGCTGTTTCTTGATAATCCACACTCAGATCGATTTCATCCCGAACTCAATCAAATGTGAGTTCTGCCGTCAATCAAGTGATCCCAAGAAAGTGCGTTCGAACGATACTGTAGTAGTAGCCTGAAATTCGAATGCGAAAGCCGTGGAAACTGACTGAGTTGTTGAGTTGCTGACACTAGGATAAAGTGGAAACTGCAGAGATTTTGACAATTTATGATAATGTACCATAGTACGAAAGTAAGCTGGATGTAACCGGTGCATATTGGTCCATTACGACTCCTTAGTTAGAGTCCAAGAGACAATGAAACTCATTGACCTTAGATATTATCAGACATGATTCACAGTAGAGGTCTGTAAATTTCCTTTACATTCTTTAAGATAAGATAATTTTTGTTAACCGAATAAACTGTCTTGATCACATTTTTAGCCTACCTGTATTCTATTGTATACTATTCTCTTCCTAACTAAATCTATTTGTTCACAATATTTTCTCTCTATACATATAGAGCATATTTTTTCGGTTTCTACTTGTACTGAAATCTGTCTATTAAATAAAGAAATAATAATGACTAGTAGCAATGCTAATTCTTATTTCTGCAGATTAACTGTCGAATTTTAGATTCTACTTGGTTGGTGTTAGTCAGCAGTAAACTGAGGTACAAGTTCATATTTGTTTAGACTTCTAGGTAACATCACTTGTCCTTAGATAAGATACGTTACTCGTAGTTTAGCATCCAAACCTGTACGTGTTGACTGAGTTACTGTAAGGGGTTCGCAAATTATACCGATATAGTTTCCACAACTGTGTGTAACACATCTTAAAGTTTAATGAGTTATCTTTGTGCCTACAGCTCGTCTATTTACTTTAAAAATTAATCAGATTGCGTAGGGTTAGTAAGTACAGTTTGGCAGCCATATATTGTGCTACATGAAATAAGATGGATTGAAACCTTATCTCTTGATGAAATTAGTATTATAATTCGACACTTGAAAACGTTTTTTCCATTATTCGCTAAGTCAGTATGACTTTCTGGACAGTGGTTAAAGACTCCTAAATGGTTTCATTTGCCTCTCAACTTGAAAGGTGGTTTTTAATGAAAAAGAAAGAGTAGCGACGGAGGTCTTTACGAGTATCTGATTGTTTTGCTTTCTGTCTCCTAAATCCATCATTTTATGGGATTATATAGCGACAGTATTATTTTTCAAAAAGATTTTTGTAACAAAGAGAGGGTTTAATTAACTGATGGATAAACTGTCTCTTTCAAAGAGGTACAATGTCTCCAAAAAATTAATGAATATTTCCAATAACTGCTCTTATCTTGCTTTTTTTACAGACTTAGTTCTTATTTTGATGGATAATGAACTCTTGTTGGGGTTTATTTGGTTTGGCATTACGCATCTCATTATATAAGAGACCTAGTGGATTATTAAAAGGCTTTTCGTACGTTGATAGGGCATCAACTCAAAAGCTTCTTCCAATGCATTTAATAAATCTTCAGAAACACACTGGATGTCGTCATGTTGGACAAGATTCTGATACTTCAGATGATGAGTTAGGTGATGAAGATGAGGATGATAATGCCGATGAATTAGATCCATATTATTCAGAAGATATGGCGTTCAGTCCACATTTTCGACAAATCTCATCATACGTCAAATCCTTACGTTTTGATAAAATTATTCGTGTGGGTTTAGATATCACTAGAAGTGCTGCTGACAATGCCTTTTTTTCTAACCGATGTAGGTTAAATGGAGGAAAACTGCTTAAGATGGGTACTACAGTTTATATAGGTGATAAACTTGATATAGTGATCGACGATACAGAAGAACCTCTTGGTAAAAGAGTGCGAGTTCTTGATATAAAACAATCAAAACACAATAATTACAAGATTAGTTTACGTTGTTGGAGAAATAATGTCAAATTGTAAAGATCTCTAATATTGTAGCGATATAATTCTGTATTGTATTTAAATAAATAAAAGAGTGATCGATATAAAGATATCGTTTTGTTCTTGATTGCTTTTTTTGTTAAAGTATATAATATTTGGTTTTATCTTTGTAGTTGTATTATGTCAAGTTATTTTTGGTTGGTCGACCACCTTTGGCTCTATTTTCATTATTTCTATTATTATGTGCAGTTGGATTAATTGTATTAGATGTACTAGTGAATAAATCCCCTCCTAATAATCCTGATGTTGAAAAACATTGGAATAAATTATTATTAGAATTATCAGGATTAGAATTTTGTATTATTAATTCATCAAATGCAAGATTAATGGCAGAATCTTACGCAAGTGCACATGTTTTACGTGGATTAGATGATATAAAATCTGACAACGTCATTATTTCACATGCAATCCATCTACCTTTATCAATATATCCTAATGAAGAATTTGTTTATGATATGTCATATTTATTAATTGCTAAAATGTATGGACGTCATATTGGTATTAAAGGTATGTTACAATTTTCTTATCAGCTTCAATGTATACTTTTTTATACTGAATATGGCTCAATGAAAAACATTGTTATCTTACTAAAGCAATCGTGGAGTGTCGAAACCTAATTTGAAAGCTAGCCGGTTATTATATGGCTATGGACGCAATGTTGTATCTCAAATGTTGTTACTCAATAAAAAAAATACGATTTCACTTTGTGGTTTATCTGATAAAGTAGACTAACATGAAACTATTTATGGATGTTAATATTTCATGGTTATAGTCAGTTGTATAGCTTCATTTGCGATCATTCTTGTACAGATGATAATTCATCGATTACGAACATGTAACTAATGGATTAGTTGATTCACCTATAATAGTTTGTGTGTCATCTTAGCTTATGTTTACATACTGGTTTTCGATCATAAATTTTAACGATTTGAATTGTATACACGGATGACGATTTAAGTTGAGAGAAAACATTGGTCGCAGTAGTATTCAAAGTAATAGCTTCTAAATGCTAAATAACTGTTTATAGCACAGGATTCGAATCCTGCTCAACATGCTTCATGCTCGACAACCAGATCAATCCCTCTGCAAACGATGTGGTTTCAGGCATAGCATACGAATCTGCTTGATAACAGAGTTATACTAACATTATTATAACAAAGTTTTAGTCGGCAGAACAGTGGGTCAGTAATCTAGAGACTTTTCGATACAGGACTCCGACCATGTTCTAACACGATCACACATTTACTTGCGCCTCACTGGACGCAGAAAAGCCACATTAAGAAGACCCATTAGAATTGAACTAAGTGACGAGGAAGCCGAAAGCAGATTCTAGGAACAACTGAGGTCGCACTTAGGTTGCTCTGAAAACGAAGCTGTTCCAGATGTCGCTTGGAAAGATATACAAACAACTGTGGAAATAGCAGTGACATCTATTAGTGATTTTAAACAAAAGGGTTAAAAAAGACCAATGGATTTCTTCTAAGTCTATTGCACTGATAGATTCTCGTAAACTCATCCCATCATGCTCTAAAAACGATGAAGAGCGAAAGGAAGTCAGATCTAGTTTAATCAAAAGTCTAAGGAAGGACTGTGATCAGTGGTGGGCATCGAAAGTGAAAAAGATGGGAACGGCAGCGGCTGTAGGTGACACAAGACATCTCTTCAAACTAATAAAGAACTGAAACTAAAAAGTCAAGTGTGAGTGAGGCGATCTTGGAAAAAGACGACACTCTTATCTGCTCTCAGCCCAGACGTTCAGAACAATGAACGGAACACTTCAGAGAACAGTTTAGATGGCCTTCACCTACTCTACGACTACCCACCATTCCCAGACAGTGTGAATGGAACATTGAAGTAGATCCACCGACTCTAGCTGAAGTTCAAAATGCTATAGTTAATCTGAAACGATGAAGGGCAGCTGGTCCAGATGAATTGACTCCAGAGGTCCTTAAGTATGGCGATCCAATTTTAGCGATTAGGTTGGCTAATATTCTAGCTAAAATCTGGGTGTTGGACGTAATCCCGTCTGACTGGTCACAATCACTGATTGTCCCAATATATGAGAAGGGGTCGAAGTCACCATGTGATAACCATAGAGGGATTATAGCATCTAAGATACTAACTTCAATAGTTATCGGGCACCTAACAAAGACTCGTGAACTGCAAACACGAGCAAATCAGGCTGGATTCAGACCTGATCGAGGTTGCATCAACCACATATTCACCATTCGTCAGGTTTTAGAACATAGGCTTGCTTATCGGCGTCTGACATTGGTGGTCTTTCTTGACTTAAAAGCAGCATTTGACTCTGTTGCCCGAGAGGTTCTGTGGCAATGTACATCAGAAGTACATGAACCTTGTGAAAACTCTTTACTGGAACACTACTAATCAAGTCAGAGCTTATGGTGAACTGTCATCTGAGTTTGCAACCTCAAGTGGTATCCGTCAAGGTTGTCCACTATCGCTATTTTTGTTCAGCTTCATTGTAGACATACTAATGGGAATAATGTTCTCGTCGTCTGAATTTTCGGACATTGATCTCCTTCCAGGAGGTCCACTTATCGACTTAGAATACGAAGATAACATAGTCTTGTTTGATGAAGACGCTAATAAAATGCAGAGTCTTTTGATAGCGCTGGCCAACAATGCCAGAATGTTTGGGATGCGCTTCTCCCCATCTAAATGCAAGTTGTTGCTTCAGGACTGGCCTGCGTCAACACTTGAACTAAGGATACGATGTGAAGTAGTCGAACGCGCCCACAACTCCACGTATCTTGGAAGTCTGATCAGCTTAATGGGTTGGTATCTGATGAAATTTCAGCACGGATTCAGAATGCTCGTTTGGCTTTTACCAACTTACGTCACCTATGACGAATGCGAGATATTCGGGACGAGTATAGTGCGCGGCAGTCCGTTCTGTTTTAATTTACGGCAGCGAAACATGGCCATTAAGAGTAGAAGACACTCGTAAGCTATTAGTATTTGACCACAGATGCCTTATAAATATTGCCCTCATCTTCTGGGATCACCGGGTACGTAATAGTGAGGTTAGACGCAAGGCATTAGGGAATGATGATAAATCAGTTGATGAGGTTGTGAATCTTTATCGACTGATATGTTTGGGTCACGTGCTACGTATGCCTGAACACCGATTACCACAACGCGCATTGCTGACTGGTGTTGAGGATGGTTGGAAGAAAGTTGAGGGCGGCCGAACCAAAACGTGACATCGGTCTATAAAGTCATTAACTTCTAGTCTGAGCCATGTTGGTAGATGCAGACTACTTGGTTGGAACCCGCATGACTCTCGTAACCAATGGTTGGGACTCTGGGTGACATGGCTCAGAATCGATCACAACGGTGTAGGTGTATACACTCTGTCTTCCCTCAAACTATGAGATTAAAATTATTTCATATCTTTCTACGTCCTAACTCTTTTTTCCTGTACTATATCCTTACATTTAATCATTCTTTTATATATTACCATCATTGAATTAACTACTTCTATGTATTCGGTGTTAATCTTGTTATGCTAATGAGGTATGACAACTTGGACCGATGCATATATGTGCCTGGTCCTACGTTGTAGCTGATTGGCTGACAATTCAATTCAGGTTGTCACTTACCGTGTGAAGAACAATCCATGTATATAAAATCCGTTTTGGTAACGACGGTTTTTTCAAATAGTTTAAATGAAGTTTATGTTTTCAGTTGTTTTAGCAAACGTGAAAATAATGTTTCCATCATAAATAAATATCGGTTGAGCTGTTGTAGAAAATCACAAGGTACTTGGCATTTGTTTTGTATTATTTTGTATATATGCAGCGGTATAACTCATTTACTCTCATGAAAATCAGTCTCAGTTCTTCAGAACTAAGCTGGTTTTCAATTTACATTCTCATTTTAATCTACTTCCGGCACGCATTATCGTAAATTAACATTCACTGTCATTTGAACTCATGACCCCCTGGCAGTGTTATCGTTTGTTTTCAGTTGTTGAAGGCTGTGCGATAATCGAGTGTTTGTCCTATAACAGTATCAGAGTACTAGATTTGATAATAAAACGTACTGTATCATAAGGAGTTGAAAATGTTTGTTGTAAATGTTTATGTCTGTCCGTTTATGTCTACAACATAAAACAATAGTTGTGCGTTAGGTCTAGTGAAGCATAATGAAATTGTACTTTCGGAAATCCCGTGACAGAATACGTGGTGTTGTGCTTTATTGGTTGAAATACTTCTTTAACATTGTGGACCATATTTCCGAAACCTACCTAACATATAAATATTTAAACAGGTAGTTAGTTTTATCATCAAAATCCTTCTAGTTACTCGATGATGTTTAGTTTTCCTAAAATCCAACATAATGATAATGACTAACTGCTGAACACAAACTAAAGTGGGTTTTCCGTGACGTATTTTTTGAAGCTCTGTTATGTCCTGATAAGCATAATGAATGGTAACTTTGGGATCCATTTATGGACCAATCCTAAACGTATGTTTTTATCGTATAATTGTTAAATAACTTAACTATTCATGTTCATATTCCTCTTATTATAAGCTTTATTTTGACCTTTGAACTATTATTATACGCTTTATCATTCTTGATTTATGCCCTGTCTATTAATCACTGCCTCCCACATTCACAGCCACTTTTGGCCAAATCTTGTACAAATGTTGTTTTCTATTTTATGGTACGTTGTGGTCTGTTTGATTGGTATATAAACTCAGTATGTTTGAAATATAATGATTGATATCGCAGAGGCTCGGATTGGCGTTCTGGACTCGACTGGCTGGATTGGGTGAAAAGCAGGACCAATCAGGACTCTAGACTGCTCGCACGTGTTTTATGCGTCATTGTCCGATCGATAATTCACTGCTTTCTAACTGGCGGTTACAAGTTATAACAAGCTCTAAGCGCAAAATGTATATATTTTAACCATTATAAGGTTTGAGACGTTGGGTGCGATAGTTTAGAATCGCTTACACTGGATTGGAGGTATTCATTCTTTATCATTCTATAGATCTTGAGTTTCAGTATTCCTTCTTACATACATTCTCATTTCATTTCAAACATTCTAAATGTTTAATCTTTTTCACTGTTATTGCTACTATAATCATTGGAACTATTTTGCTATTTATCTTACTAATTTCATCTCATCGCGTTGATTCGGCGATTCTCACACTTGTGTTAGGCTCTTTTTGTCACATGATTGACTGGTATGTCTCTTAGGTATTTCATTCTAATACTAACAAATGATAGTTTTTCATTATTCCAGGTCCTTTAGCATTGCAAAAACTGAACATATCTTTTCTGGTACCATCAGTTCGAAATGAAAATCGTAAAGGAAAAAATCTGAACTTTCGATTTGTACATTTAAAAACATGTGTGACTTTTACTGCTACATCGGCTATTTTCCCACCAATACTGTAAGTTTCAAACGTAGTAAAGCAATCCTTTTGGACAAATGGGATGTATTTTCTGCGTAATATGTTACTTTTCAATTTTTATATTGTATAAATGAGTGTTTGTGTTACTTATTCATTTAACGCTTCTCATTTTGGAAGAAAACTTGAACAGATTTATTAACCACTGCTGTAGATCATTTTTAGGTAAGAAAGCTCACGTAGAAATTTCCAGTGTTATTTGATAGAGCCTTGGGAATCCAGTACTTACTAATAGTGCGTATTTAATAGTTATAGAATTAAAGTTCCACCTGTTGCCTAAATCATTAAAAATGGCTATTTGTTTAGATTCAGTTTTCTGATATGTTTGGTTTATAGTTCGAAATTCTGTGTTACCCTTCCAGGTCATACAAATCTAACTCATTTACGAGTTAGATTTATTTGAGATGCATTCATGGTAAAACAAACAGTGCTATACTTTTTCCTCTGTGGCAATCGCACACACGTCTAATCAAGTTTTTTTTTAAGATCCATCCATTCGTATTGAGTAACAGCATGCCACACAAACGACATTACTCTTAATTACGTGATGGTAACCAATGGAAACTTTTAGGTAACTAATTGTATAATCTTTAGTCAACCAACTGTTACGTAACAATGTGACTTTATTATGGCCGACATGATGGTGTTTGGTAATCAAATGCATGAGGTTGTTTAAGTTTGATCAATATGTTTCATATAATAAGTATAAGTCATTTAATAAATTGATCATTATACGTCGATTAAGGTGACCACATCATTTGTTGTAAATTTAGATGCGGTATCTGTTTGTTTCGTGTGCTCTAATTTCTCATGTTACTGTTTTTATGCTGTTGTCTACTACTTCTGCCTTTGTCGCCGATGATGGAAACTATAAAAGTTTAACAATGTTCACAAAACACCTATTGTTATAACAATTATATGCCCATTAGTAACCAATTTTGAGAGGTAATTCCAGGGGTTTTATTAAAATGAAGTTCAGCCTTATCTAGTGTGAGACAGTTACTCATCGACGACATTGAAAGATCGCTAGACAACAGCACAAATTGATTTAAGCTAGGTATTTAAACCAGTAAATGTCAACTCAACCCTCCTGAAGTTAAGAATTTGAGGGCCCTTGGTTTGACACTCGATGATCTTATGGTTGAGCACTGCCGAGAATCACTATAGTAGGTAGGAGGCAATTCAGAGAAGAAAATTCTCTTTTCGACAATTTCATTTACTTAAGCTGTACAATCATTTTTATGGTTAATTTTATTTGCAAAAATATTGGTCTATAATGAAATAGAATGGTGTAGAATAATTAGGAAAAAAATTTTAAGTAGTATTTTGTCGCGAATTGCTTACGAAAAACAGATATTGAAAGGAAATTGTGTAATAATCGGCTAGTGAAGAGAAGTAAGGTGAAGCAAATACTAACTTTAAGCACAAGGAACAACATCTTTTGACATGTAGACCCCCAAAGTTGGACCCAACTAGAGCACATCGCTATCAGCCACCGATGGAGGGGCTCGATAGAAGACTGTCGCCCGTTCGGGAGCATATGCTTAGATTCAGATCATGCTCTGGTGCGAGCGCGAAATCGTCTGCTTCCTAATGGACGTAGGAAAGACAACGTAAAGATACCTCTCAGGTTCCTACTCAATGATAGCCAAGCTAAGAATATATTTCAGGAACAACTAGAAAAACAGTTAGGAAACCATGTAAGTGATGCCCACCCCGAGGCAGCATGGAATGATATCCGAGAGGATTTGGAAACAACAGAGATATCTGCTAGTAAGGTAAACCATAAGGTTTGGGAGGAAATACTGGATCTCAGTGGCATCTACCACACTGATAGATGCTCGAAAACTCCCACCTGGCTCTGAACATGACAAAGAGCGGAGTCAGTTTAAGCGCAAACTGATGAGAAGTCTACGCGATGATCGCGAACAGTGGTGGGTAGCGAAAGCAAGAGAGATGGAAAAGGCAGCGGCAATAGGCTACAGCAGATAACTTTTCAGAATCGTCAAGTAAACCGTTATTAGGAACCCGACTGTTAGCGAAACCATCTTGGAAAAGATGGACATATGATTCACTGTCAATCCAGGAGATTTGATCGATGGGCAGAACACTTTAGGGATCAGTTCAACTGGCCTTCAGTCAAACTTCGGTTTCCCACGATCTCCAGTCGACCTTAATGGCAAGTTGATGTAAGTCCTCCAACTCTTTACGAACTTGAAAAAGTTATAGGGAGAGTAGCAGGCCCTGACAGGTTTCTCCCTGAGATTTTTAAGGATGGCGATCCGGTATTAGCAGTGAGATTGGCTGAGGTCTTGGGTAGAATCTGGGAAGTGGACGTAATCCTATTTAGTAAAAATTCCCATTTTGCCATTTGGTAATCCCATTTGACTGGTCGATAAGGAAGGACAAAAGTTCTCTTATGGCAATCACAGAGGAATCAGTTTGACCAATATAGTGTCTAAAATATTAGCTTCAATAATACTTCGACGCCTAACTAAAGCTCCTGAAGAGCATACTAGAGAAAACCAGGCCGGTTGTCGACCTGGACGTGGTTGTATAGACCAGATATTCAGACTACATCAGGTTCTAGAACAGAGACACACATTCAGACGTTCCACAATAGTAGTATTTCTCGACCTTAAGGCGGCATTCGACTCTGTTGATCGTGAGGTTCTATGGCAGTGTTTGTCACTGAAAGGAGTACATTAACCTTATACAGGCTCTCTTCTCGAACACAACTGGTAGAGTGAGAGCTTATGGCGAACTGTCATCAGAATTGATTACCTCAAGTGGTGTTCGTCAGGGCTGTCCACTCTCTCCATTCTTGCCTAACTTTGTTGTGGACGTGCTTTTAGAGATGACACTTTCCTCATCTAAATTTCCAGGGGTTGAACTTCTACCTGGAGATTATTTTATTGACTTAGAATGTGCTGATGACATAGTTTTACTTGGTGAAGATGCTGACAAAATGCAGTCTTCTGAATCTCGAAGCATTTAGTCAATTCTGGTCATTACGCTTTACCAGAAGCCTTTTTCAAAATCACACACAACAGGAAGAGTCGGCTCAATAGGAATGAGAATGGAAAACTTGTGTATAGAAGAGGCTATCGCTACCCATGATCCCGAGCCTAAACTTTGCGTAAGAAAACACTACATTCAGTCCCCCATTCTACCATGGTCTTCACCTACCTTTCTATCTCCTGTAATCTGTTTTGTTTTTTTTACTTCTATTAGTTTCTGATCGTGCTCAAAACCATTAATTATCCACCATTACAATTTTTAGTTGTTCTGTTCTTAATAGCTATAAACTGGACAAATATCCTTCACCTTACTACTCTTCACTAGCCGATTATTACACAATTTCCTTTCAATATCTGTTTTTCGTAAACAATTTATGACAAGATACTACTTTAGGTTGTTTTCCCAATTATTTTACTCCATTTTATTTTATCATAGACCAATATTTTAGCAAATAAAATTAACCATAAAAATGATTGTACAGCTTAAGTAAATGAAATCGTCGAAAAGAGAATTTTCCTTTCTGAATTGTATTCTTTTTTAGTGAAACATTGGTTCTATTTTGTCAATGCTTGTCTAATTCTTCGCGATTTTCATTGGCTGTTTAGCTATGATGAGTTTGTGATTTAAGCAATGAAGTCCGAAAATGTGTTTTATCTGGTCAGTTTTTCAAACTTATGTTAGCAACGTAATGTGTAGTAGTGAAAGTAAATGGTATTGGTTACTGTACGTAGGCAAACAGGTAGGCAGCTTGCTAGATAATAAATATGTTATTTCCCTTCCACTTATTGATTTCTAATCTGAACTCACTTAGAATGATTGCCTGTAATTGTGTGGTATATAATATTATCTAGGGTTACTGTTTTTCTATTTTTGATCGTGAATCTGGCATCCTGGTACAACGTGATCTAGTCTGTATTTAGTGGTATCGAGCATCCAATCTGGACGTACTATAAACTCCATCAACAGTCCTATATTAGCGTAGTATACTGCAGAAAGATAATAATTTTTTAATTCTCCGGTTAAATCACAGGTATCTAAAAGTGCTACTGATTACCTACACATTTTGTGCAATTGTCTTCGTAAATGAAATAATTTACTTATATTAAAATCGCATGTTTTTCCATAGTGATTTTATGTATCCAGATTTTTGGTTTTCATGAAATTCAAGTTTTCAGTGTTAATTTTTTCTATTACGCTTGCGTTTTATCTTACAAAGCTATATGCTTGAATCAAGCGATCATGAGAGCGTAAAACACATATTAAATCGTTATCTAAACGGCGTGATATTTTTAGTATTTTTGAAATAAGTCATAACCAATTCGCGGATTACTTGCAGTTGAAAATGATAGCCATCACTGGATTCTGAAAGTACCATTTTTACTTTACTATTTAAAAGTCATAGGTGGTTAACAGTGGAGGACGAAAAAACCATGTAGTATTCTCTGGTTTTTATAGTTTTCCAACTGATACCAGTCTGTGATGAACAATAAGTCTATATGTACTTATACTATGCAGTTATATACACCTACGATATTTTCGTGTTTACTTCGGAAAATTCTAGGTTACCTCCGACTTGTGAACCAAACTTAATTGGTAGTACATCCTCAATAACTAGTCTTCTTGAATGGTCCAAACGGACTGGTGTTTTTGACTCAAACCGTTGTCATGGTCGGACACGAATACAGACTGAGTTTCATGTTTCTCCTCATCTTTTACCACGTTTGGAAAAGGTTTGTTAATCTAATATTTGCCTACATTTTAAATGTTACGTGGCTTATTTTCTTTTTTGACAATTTTGAGTAGAGAATTATTTCAGATTTAGAGAAAGAATAAACCTAGGACACGGTGTGATGTGAGTAAACCTTTATGTTATGCATGTTTTTGATTCGGATTATATTAGCTTACTTGAGGTCGACAAGTCTTTCTCCAGGTAATATCTTTAAGTTTTCACCACTTCATTCAAGCTGTTTTCTAAACATCATCGACGTAGAATTTTAAAAAAATGATTGAAGTAATTCGACAGCGTTGTTTAGTCTTACTTGGTTTAGAAATATGGAGAGAGGTGGCTTGGATACTTTCATTCTACCTAGAGTGTTTTTGCACAAATTTATTAAGATGTTAACCATCTTCATAGGGTCATATCTTTCTGGCTGATTAGAATGATAGTAGTTAGTCTGCTATACTCGCTTCACTGATGAAGCGTTTAATGAAAAATAAAGGTATAATTAATACATTCGATACATAGGAAAAGTTTATTCCACTCGCCACAGATTGGTTTCCACGTCTTTCTTGCAATCTGCACAATATGGCAACTTGCTTTTTCACTGACATAAAGATTATTGTTATCTTAGATGATTTAAGACAATCTCTAACATTTGTAAAATGCATCTGTTTCTTTTAACTGAGTAGCAAGTTCTGATCAGGCTATGTCGCCTATGAAATTTTCCACATTGAGGACTAGTTTTCACTGTTGTACACATACGTCGTCCAAGTCAACTGTTGAGCTTCATAAACCTGTTAAGAGTTCACTGAAACTCATTACTTGTGAGCAGGACAGTTCGCGAAGTTGCAAGCGGTTTTATTGACCCACTTAGTTGTAACTAGTTTCAATGTACACCTTCCGAAGGACTAATAGCTGACCTTGATCTAGGAGCTATAAGACAGTTAACTTACACCAACCTATTTACGAAGACTTACATGTTGACCACATAAACATGAAACGTGTTTCGTGCACAAAATATCATGATCAATTTTAGAGGCCAACTTACGGTGAAACTTCAGCAATAAATATGGAAGGTCGTAACTGGTCCGAATTAGGTTGTTCTACACCAAGGCATGGAATAAGACTTCCCATTAAGTGGCTATAGACTTGTGGCAATTTCGGGTAAAAAAGCTAGCTACCTTCAACGTCGATCGTAGTAGGGGATTACGAGTGGTCACATTAGTAACGAGATATTATTTCTAATTAGGTATAAAGGTGCAAATTAGAGGTGCATAAAATATTTGTTCTAGTAACGATTGAATAAATATTTTTCAGCATAGGGGGCATTTATGAGGATTGTAGAATTTTCATGGTTTAAATTAATAACCGATCTTAGCCAGACTACTATTGAAAATTTGAAAGAACTGGACGACTGTTTTTTTCCAGTATGGAGCTCAGTAGTGTGCATCCACATTCTTGCATCTGGAAGTCGAACCCAGGACTTTCGGTCTCGAGTGCTCAACTTCTAGACCACTTTACCGGCATTCAATAGTGTACATATCTAACTTCAATCGACTTAGGACATTGCGCAACCCTGACCCATTGCCTGAGGTGGTTGACTATCTCACGCTCTATGTGGTTGAATTTATTTACTCGTTAGTGACTAGCCTAAAGATGCAACTCCTGGAGTTCTGCTGAATGTTCACGACTAGTGGAGTTCAAGATAATAATGACTGATTTTCATAAGTTTTTTAAGGTATCAATAATTCTGGATACCAACTTCGGGATGAACAGTCGGGTGGAATCCCTAACCACCTAAGAGCTATGTTAACGACAATTATAATGACTTACAGATCATTAGTGTTAATCATCTTTTTTATGATCGCATATTTTAAATGTGTTCATATTTTGTTAGTTTTCTTCATTTATATATTTCCATCAGTAAATGTTCAAATATTTATATTTTTCATTTATCTAAATTTGTTATTTAGGTAGATATTCTCCTCATTTCATCTCGATTACAATTTCTAGTAATTATATTGTTACTGTCAGATTTTCTTATATTGTTTTTCGGTGCACGATCTATGTCTCGTTCTCCAATAAATATAAGAGGTCGGAATGTATTTTCTTTATGTAAGTGTATTTTATATATTTTTTTCTTAAAAAATTACTTTTTGTTAGTATGTTAAGTTGTATTAATGTAATTCAATAAAAAAAACCCCAATTGAATGAAGAATACGTAACATAATAATCTATTGATTTGTAACTGAGTTCACTGCTAAAAGATATTCACAAACAAATAGAACTAAATAACACAAACCAAAAAAAACTACACGTAATCTGTAACCTCAATTAACTATTACAAATTTTCTTTTAATTCTTTTTTTTTCTACTAACATAAACTTATATTGAAATAAAATGAGTTGAATAATTGACATATGTTTAGTTCAAAAACAGGATAAACTATTTAGTCTGTATTTTTAAATTACAATATATACACCGTAATTAGTATGAGAAATGTAATATGTACATATTTATTTGAGTAGTCGACTTATCGAAGGCAGTTCACCTCAAAACGTTACAAATTATTTTGGATAGCTCAAAAATACAGCCTATACTTAGTTAATTATTATCTAATCACTCATAATGAATCTTTTGTTATGCACAAAATTTTTTATATTAAACTAATATAAATAGTCTTGTTCGATATGAAATTAAATGATGATTAACGCGGAAAGTGTTGGAGTGATCCAGAAAATTTCTTGCAAAAGACAACCAAGGATCAGGAAACACTAAGAAGCGTTTCATCCATTCAGCGTTTCCTTGAAATTTTAGCCAAAAATATCAAGGAAGTGAAACTTCACATGTACAGGTTCTGATTGGCTGATTGCTATACTGCTGCTATGTTTAGTAGCATTCCAGAATCTTCGAGCAACCCAAGGACATTTAAAAATATTTTAAAAACCCTATATTTTCTGTGTTGAAACGAACCTTGGAGTAAAGTACTTCTCGCATACCTTGCGTCTTCTGTCTCGTTCAGGTCGCTGTATAGTTCTAGCTGGGGGTTACAGAATAGCTTAGGAAACGAATATAGCGTTCAGTTTGCAAGACTTATCAGAAAGAAATATGCATCTCACCAGAATCCAAATTTGTAACAGCCTATTAGGCCGTTCGATACTCTACTGAGTAAGTTTCAAGACCTAGTAACTATTTAATTCTTATCCTAATATGCTTAAATCAATCTGTAAACTATGCTTATCTCAAACATAATGATTAGCTGTCTGTTCGATTTGAATTGTTTTAAAAAAGCCCTCTGGGACTCGAATATAATTTAATCCATAGTTTTGTTACGCAGTAAAATTGTTTTGTGAATTGAATCTTGAGTAGCAATCATTATATTTAATCAGATTGTTTGGGATTCCTTATTGTTGACATAGCTAAAATCTGTTATCAAACTAGGATGCATGATAATTGGATGCAGATGATAAATTACGTTTGAGAGTAAAATAAAAATAAATTATGACCATAATCTGACTTACAACTTTAGTTTCTTATCAATGCAAAAAACAAACAATATTGATTATTTATTAAAGCGTGCTGTTGCTACATGTTTTAATTATTCACGTCAATAATGAGTGAATCAATAAACACGAAACCTATGTGAAATACTCGGCGGTTTAATCATTTGAATGTCGTCTAGTTTTCACTTTCGCCATTGAATTATGTAGCTAGAAACTTAGTAGAATGTTTCATAAATACTTACAGTTATTTCTTGAAAATTGACCAATATGTTTACGACGCAAGTGTTTCAGTGACATGGTCTACACCCATAATATTGAACGAAGCAGTTTAGAATATAAAATGACTAGCATCGCTTATATATATCCTCTCTGTGAATATGCATTACTTGTTATTACCAACTTTGTAAAAACCAATAGATCAAAAATTTCCTACTGATTACGCTTAGTTGTTTTATTTTACTGTGTACTTTTATGTAATTAAGAAAAGCTTTTTTTGTACCAGACGTTCGTCATGCTCCCGTTTTTCATTTTTTATGTCTCCGATCTAAATTAAAATGGTTGTTAGTTTAAAACTTCTACATTTGCTTCATTCTTTAGTACTTATTGTTAACATATTTCTTTTAAATCTCCATTTTGTTCTCCGGCGTTATTTCGGAAAACTAATATTAGCCAAACATTCATTTGCTGCCTGAAATTCATTTCGTAATATCCCGAGTTATCTATCCTAGTTGGTATGATATGTTGGCCTAAATGTTGACTAGCCAGTAATGATTTTGAAAGTATTACAATAGTAAATTAATGGTTTAAATGATCAAAGTGATCAACTTGTAATGATTGTTTTATAAGTTTCAACCTTTATCCACTCCATCTATTTCTGTCTGTTCTCAACTGATTAGTTTTGATAGTCACTGTACGCGAAGTATTGTGCTGCGTGCTACTTATATTGACATAAGTATTATATAACGCGAGTCAGGAATCTAATGTCTGGCAGTAGTAGATTGGGAAGATCAAGAATAGAAGAACAGGAATAGAAAGCAATTAGTATAGAAATGCAAGAACAATGAAGTCCAAGACAATTATTGAACATTTTGCAAATTAAGTATTATCGTATGGTTTTTCTATTTTACCAAGTAACTCTGTAATTTTGTGCTAAATATAATTCGGTTCTCCTCACCTATGTTCTCTTTCACTACAGTATGATCAAATCAAATTATGACAAATTGTATTAAGTTTAATTAAAATAACCCATAGTGTCATTGAATGAGAAAAAGAGAATTCAGCGAGGAAAATTTTCTTTTCGACGAAATCATTTACTTAAGCTGTACATTCGTTTCTTTTCTGCACTTTTATTTGATTATTATCGAATTTTTAAAATTACTATTTTGCATTTCAAACTCGAATCAGTTATTATTATTATTATTATTTTTATTATTATTATTATTATTATTATTACCTCATACAAGTTTTTTTGATTACTTTTTAGTCTATTATTATGACCTTTGTGTTTGTCGCTTTTCTTCGTATTTGTCAATTGGACTATTATCTGACCCATAAACGATTTTCTTCCTTACCCCTTGATTAGTACGTAACCTCATTTGTTATTTATCCTCGAATCCATTTTGGTGATGCAATTTTTTCTATCCTCCTATAGACATACATTTTCCATATAACTATATATACGAATGCACAGCTTAAGTAAATGATTTCGTCGAAAAGAAAATTTTCTTCGCTGAATTCTCTTTTTGTATTAAGTTTATTAAGTAATTACATCATGATTATAATAATTATTTTTCACTTTAATTATTAACTTATTCATAATATTAAAATGTAATTTATTTTGTTTTGCTTACAAAGAAATACTTGTCACACAAATCAAATATAAAATAACTTATTGTTATTATCATCCATCGGTAAAAAGTTTTCATCAAATGGCACAATGTTCAATTCTGCGTTTACTATGAACAGCTGAATTCGGATCATTTGATAAACAATTTTACACGGCAGTTTAAAAGCTAACAATCTACAAATTTCTACTACATATATACTTTTTTGAGTTATGTACAATTCCTATTCTTAACATTGAGTAGATTAATTTTTCTAAAAAAATTTTTAGTTTACTACATTGTGATATACGTTTATAATTCTCATTCTTTCTTAATTGTCTATGTAGTTTATTATTTGGATCATTCCATTCTCGTTTTTTTTAAAAGGGAGGGAGGGTGCTTAGATTCTTCTCTCTTTTTTGTCTGATACGTTGAATCAACATATTAGCGAGCTCAAATGTGATATACATGTATATTTGATTTTATTATATCTACATATATCTGTTTTGTACACCATCTTTTTTATTGTTGTTACTATTATTATTTGTGTTTCTACAACCATAAATGTACTTTTTTGACTCTATAAATAACTGATGTAAATATAAAAATAAAAGTTGGTTATTTCTTTTTTCTGTTTCCTAATTGTGCGTATTTGTGTGTGTGTTGTGCTTCTTTAATATTCTTTGTCGTTTACTTATCTTAGTCAGATGCTTTTAATTGATTTAACTGTTATAGTTAGAATCCAGAGTTTTATATATAGTTTTGTTTAGTTTTTTCTCGTGCAAACTATGAATGCTAAAAATCATGTTACCTACAGTCATTTATTATTACATTAATTCGGAAATATTTTAAATATACTTTCATTTTTACGTGAAGATTTATGACATAACGGTTAATCGTAGAACATTTTCATGGTTTTCCTACTGTACCTTAATGTATGGTAAAGTGTTATCATCTTTATTAGTTTCGTTTAAATAATTAACATTTTCCTGTTTGTATATTTTCGTGCTCTTATAATTTATTTGAAGGACAGTGAACATCATTGTCCTATCAATTAGACAATCTGTTATAGTCACTTGTGAAGAAATCCTGATAGCTCATTTCATCTAGAGTGCTGATCAAAACTTTGCAATTAAATCAAACGATATAACCCTATTAAATAGATTCTTTTTTCCTTGCATACATTCTTTTCTTGTTTAGACAAAATATGTTGCAATATGAATCAATTTGAACCACAAAGATCAGAAGCTAACACGTAGATTATATGTGTGCAAAGTAACTGAGTGATAGTGCTGTCGGTCTGTGAATTCATAGAGTTATTTTATAATGTTACAATAACTTTTTAGTTATTATTCAACATTACAATTGAGATGGGATATCTTTCCATGAAAACACTGATTTTCCGCTGATCGTGTTAGGACAATGGAACTCAGCATACCGTCTAATAAGCTACTAGAAAGCCTTTAAAACGGTTTACTTATCAAAATACAAATTGCTTTCAAATTACAATTTCCCGTCACTCGTATTCGAATTCTCTACACATCAGCTTAAAATGGTAATCTCAGTGTAAGCAAGTAATCAAGTACTGGCTTGTATATTAGATTTAGAAACATGTATTCTGTTTGGGACCTAAGAGGTGAAAATGAATTCCAAGTTTGTCCCTAACAGTTGAACACTAATTTTCTAACCAACGAGTTCTATGGAGTATACCAGTTTTCAGAATAGTTGGAAATGTCTTTTTATGTACAAAAAACATATTGTGTCTTCTTGAAACCATTTCTTCTTAGTAACTGATGCGGTTTTGGGTGACCGGTTAAACTTTTCTCCTCCAGATAGTTCTAGTAAAACAGCGATAACTGATAAGATTTCTGAAGAGTTTTGTTTTCGTTCCCTACATAATAAAATTAATAATTCATAATAGAAACGTGGGGAAAGAACGTTGCAAATTCAACACAAGTATCCCATTCTCTTTCTCACAAAGTCTTTCATGGCCACCACTATTTTGAATCCCCTGATAGTACTGATAGTCTCTTTAGTCTTTTGTGCGTTTGTCTTAAATTATATTCCAAGGTGGTATTAGATGATCAGTATAGGTTCTTGCATAAATTGATTCAAAGTTTACCTACTTACTGTATACCTTCAAAGAAAGCCCACTAAGTAAAGATTGCTTTATGCAACTGAAATACGTGCAACTATATACAATGGTACATTCTTGTGCTCATTGCTGCTTTCAGACTTTTCCCACTAGTTATTCACCCCTTTTATTTATCTTATTATCATGCTACCATGGTTTTACTCATAGTGGTTTTTGACATCAGTCTATTTAATTACTCTTGTGCATTTCATTTCTGTGACAGAAATTTTTGACTGTCCTGTAGTGAACGAAAAACACATCCTCCACCAGTTGTACTTTAAATGCTTCATAACTCTCTCAATTGTGTTGTATATCATTTAAGATCATTGTAGTGATTTTAAAGAAATGGATTATTTTCATGATTAGTATAAGCCTAAGTATATGTATTGCACAGTAATATCTAATGTGTAGTTTATTACAGTGTGCACGAACTTTATGAGAAATCTCATGTTGGTGCTATATTTCGCTTATTTCATTACATGATTAGATTTTAAACTTCAGTCTAAAGTAATACGAATATGATGTTATCCGCGCTTACACTGTTAGATCAATGGTAATCGATCCATAACCATAACTTAATTTGTTCTACCTATTCGAGTTGTTCAATATGATAGATAAATTTTACTTGCTTCTAGTGCTGTTAGTTCAAATTTACTGAATGCTAAGGATAGCAATTAACTGATGTCGTTTCACAATTGTCGTAAGGTATTTTAGAATAATTATGTTTCAGTAGATGCGCTTTTCTCCTGAGTGTTTGGCTTTTCTAACAGTTTCGTACTACTTAATAAATACTAGTGATAGTCGATAATCCTCAAGCCATACCCCTATTAACTTAAACATTACATTCTGACTTGTCGACCAAATGGCATCCTGGTTGCCACAGAATTTAAATATCTTGTAATCAATGTTACTATCTGCTATTTCAAAACTAAGACGAAAGAAATTGTTTGACCCACACCAGTTTTAGTCAGTGTTTCATTGGAATTGATAAGAAAACTTCTTTTGAATTAGACAAACCATCACAGAATATTCCGACAAAACAATTGATATATTCAGTAAGTGTGCGTCTTCACTGTGCCTATTAGCTGAAATATTGATCACCTTGTTCACTTATTTTCTCTTCTTCGTTAGCTAATAATTAATTTGATATAATTTTTGTTGCTATTTCAGCATTCTTATTGTCGCTCCAGTCATCAAATTCTTTGAATCTCATCTATCCTAATGACTACATTGGCCGATTTGCATAGGTTGCGAGAGGCTCATACAGCAGCAAATGCAAACAAAGATGGTAGGTCAGTCTCATATATATATATATATTCCTTCATTTGTTTTCTTTCCCTACCTCATTGATTAGTTTAGGTGTATTTCTGACACTTGATGTGTTCCGACTGTTTTAAAGAAAAAGTGTTAAGATATACAAACGATGTATACTGAAAACTGTACTTACTCTGTTTGTATATGTGTTCATGATTGTTTGCTGTTATTTGTTCTTGATGATGCGATTCGTTGATTCGCTGGTTTTCCTTTCTTGTGCATAGGTCATATGTATCGTATTTAACTATTAAATCATATCTCCAATTATTTATATTTAAGTGCACTATAAATACTACTTTCACGGTGATTATTAATACTTGAAAATTACAATATTAAAAATAATTATTAGTGTTTCTCATCAGTAACAAATTCATTATATTTGCGTTTGTCTTGATAAAAACTGATTTTATATTGATTATAGGTGATGTTGCGTTCATCTAGTAAACTTATTAAACACTAAAAATAATCAATCGTACAGATTAAAAAATGTATTACTTGTAATATTATGAGTGATAGATTAACTTGATATAATGCTTGATGATTGTTCTTAGGAAAGTAACCTATCTTTTAAGTATACTTTCATGTAATTAGTTTTATATCAGATATTCTATGTAAGATTTACTCGTACTAAAGGACTGCTTTAACTTATTAAGTCGAAGCGGGTTTTGAACATTCTACGTAATTGTTAAAAGTGAATGATTTAACCACTAAGCTAATGTTCCGTATTTATTGTAGATGACTTGTACAAGCAGGTGGCTTGTACACCTAAGTGATAAGGTGTAAACATTTAAGGCGGAAAACGGGATTTTTTGTGACGATGGTGATTTGTAGCTCAGGTGGATGATTTAGGTGGAGTTTTGTTCTCTGAGCAGGACAATCTGTGAATCATATGTAAAGAAATTCGAAAACTTCACTTCTACTTGAAGTTTGTGCTGATGATTTTGTGCAGAAGAACAATGAAAGCTTCACGACTAAACCACCCAGCTCAGAAATCGAAACTCCACCTAAGCGAGTTTTTTGTTTTGATGTGAATTACCTATACTGGGATGCTGGTACATATAGACAAAACGTCCCTCGTGATTTCCTCTGCTACCACCAATCCGTCTATTACATCAACTGCTGTTTATATTTTCTTTGTTTTTTCCACATTAGGTATTTTACCTTTGGATGAAGTGGATAAAAATGCTCAAGAAGCGTTAAATCAATTGGAACTACGTAAAAAGGTAAGTTGAATAAACAATTATTATAATAATTTTGTTTTAATACTTTTGCAACAGTAGTACTAAACGTCGCATTATTTTTAATAAATACTACCTCTTTTATAAAACACTTTGTATCTTATAAATCTAAATTCTAGTTTTAGGTATATATATAGTTTATGTGTTCATCCTTGTTTTTACATTTGTTTTTTAGGTATTCTCTGTGTCAAATAAATCTTTTCTTCCCATTTACATCGTGCCACTTCAGCTGATTAATGTTAACTTATTTCACATCTTGATATTGTAGAGAAATACCTTATTTTCCGAAACCAGTATCAGCTGGAATGAGAATTTATCCTACACATAAATAGTGCACATAAACTTGAACTCAAGTCCTTAAAAAATCGGGTTGCTTCTTATGTTGAGGAATATTTAGTTAGTTGTTGTTAATGTTAATGTGGAGAATGATGATTGGATGTAGCATTTATTTGGGATTTGGATCATTATGTTTACAAAGTCATTCAGTAGAAATAGCATAGCAGTCATACTTTAATTTACAAAATCATTTCATTTTTTTGAAAACAATATGCTTCAAATTAATATAATTACATTTTCACCATTGTTTGTGTATTAAAACTGTAATTACGGTTAGACAGTCCATTCAGCTTGTAAATTAGTAACAGATTAATTATAATCTGAAGAATTATATTTAGAGTCATAACAATGATATCTGAATACCTCACCATTTTAATCACTAATCTTATACAGATTCTTAACCCGATTGTACAATAATTTATCTATTTGTTTTTGAAGTTTATTCTTATTTTGCTTACATCACTATGTATTACTCATATTTTTGTCTGACAAAACTGTTCTAACCCCAATTGCAGGCTCGTTTAATACAAGTATCTACAGAAGACTCTGAAGTGAGAGCTTATCTTCGCCAACTTGGTGAACCTGTCTGTAAGTCCAGATTTGTTTGTTGTCTTTGTTTCTTTATATCATTTTATAATAACAATGAAACATTAAAAATATTCAACCCAACAATTTTCACTTACGCCTGTTACCTTCCATAGAAGGAGCATAAACTGCCCACTAAGATTCTCCATCGAAATCCGTGGTGGGCAATCCTTTCCAGTTGTTTCCAATTGCTATCCAGTCTTTGAACATCTGTCTCCAATTCCTGATGCAGTGTATTTCTTGGTGTTCCCCTTTTCCCTTCAAGATTCCAAGTTAGCACTTGTCTCATGATACAGTTTGATGATTTCCTCAGTGTATGTCCTATTCAAATCGTGTTTTTTTCTTAATTTCCTCTTCAACTGGAAGCTGGTTTGTTCTCTCCCACAGTGGGCTGTGGGAGTCAATGATCACAATGAAATAGATTGTATAACTGCACATAATAGGTGGGAAGTATAAATCGATAATTTTTTACTATCGCTGTTGCTGTTACTGTATGTTGGATTAAAGCCGGATGATGATTTAATTGAAAACATGATTGTTCGCGTATATGTGTTCTAATTTTCATAATGCGAATCTTTAATGTAGAAAATTAAATGTATAATTCGAAAATGAGAAACTTACATATTTGATATGTTGGAACTACTGTTTCATAGACAACAGTACAAGATAATAAATTTTTCATCATTTAAATTTTTTATTAGAATAATACTTTAGTTAAATAGTATAACTCATAAACTGCACCTACATTCTGCGATAAATTTCTTCAAAATATGTATTGGCACTAGGTTTATTTGGTGAAGATGGAGCAGACCGAAGAGAAAGACTACGGATGATTCTCGCAGTGAGCGGTGGTCCAGCTCAAAGACCAACTTTGACGGATACAGTAAAATCATCGACTGGGACTGGTATATCTGTTAATCGATTTGGTGAAAATATTTCTACTGAGACTGTCGGAGATGTAAGTTTGAAAGTATTTATGCCACTGAATTTCTAAAATGTATACCACAACTTTGGTGTGATATTATGTATAATTATCATGACATTTTACAATCATTATATTATTAATCAGTCTACATGCAGTAGGATTTTACACTATGCTTACATTTCAATACTTGCTCGGGTCAAATCGTATATGTAGAACTGCATTTCATACTAACCATTCATTCACGATCATTTTTAAACACTGCCGTCAAGCACGTAGACCATGGATATTGTGTGTACATTGGTAGGTGACCAGTAAATACTTTCAATCCCAAATTACTTATTTATTTGAACACATAAATATTGGTAAAAGGGGCACCGAATATATATGCGCCACACAATTCACTTGATTTATGTCTAAGTGCATTGACCTAGAGACACTACTTGTCTACTCAAACTAAATTAATTATGGGTTATACATTATAATTCAGTTTAAGTGTAATATATAGCAATAACTTATTTTCTAACTATACTTTAAAATATGTCCGTACTAATTTGGTATTTATTTTGCTTCCTAAACGAAGACCAGATTGTACACTACTGTACTGAAGTACTTACATGTTCATGGTTTTCACTGTTTCTATTTACCTATATTGTTTGGGCATAGTAATTTATTTGTTAACTCTCTAGCATTCATTTTTCCCAAATACTGCACAATCAAATATTGTTCTTTCATAGGATACTACAGTGTGGTACCATCAAGGTCCAAATACTCTTGCAGAGGCTCGTCTATGGATTAGTGAATTTTCTTTAACCCGAGCTAAAGTTCGACTTGATAGAGCTAGAAATTATTTCAATAATGTTCCAGCACCTCAACGTAAAGCTAAACTTCAAGAATATCATAAGGTTTTGCGAGTAAGTTTGCTTATATGACGTCTTTGTCAATAATTTAGAATTGAGATAATGATGTTTTTTGTGTGTATGAAGTTTCTTTGGTGTATGCCTATTTTAATTTTCATTATTTATAAAGAATGTCGTTACCACTTGACCACGTACTACTTAAAAGTGTCTAATTTTCACTGAACATTCATAAGCGTGAATGCTTAATATCCATTGGACCTAATTCTATCAAAATCTGCAATTACATGTGATGTGAATCGTTATTGACCAGTGTCATATTTTCTTCTACATCCTGCATAATATTTAATCTAGTAATGAAATGATAGAATGTAACTAATGATTAGATTTTTCCCTACCAACTTACATGTGATTACCTAAAAACTTAACATTTAAGTATCATTGCGCAAAATTAGCTATGTTGTGTTAAACTAGGAGCTTTATTATTCACTATCTCTATACAAACCGACCTATAAATTTAAGATTTTGTAATTTGAGTTCAACTAAGCAGTCTGAAATACTATTACCTAGTTGTATCTTTACCTGGGTTAATGATTTATTTACGTACTGACAGTCTTTTCTGCCAATGTAGTAGGTGGATAAGTGCATGTAACTCAAACTAGTTTATTGTTTATCATTTGCTTTTATGGTAATATACTAATTATAATGAGTGTTTTAAGACTGGAAACGTTTTCATTAGCTCTTAATATTACCATGAAGATGTAAGCATTTCAAATTTGAATGGAAACTCGCCATCAAGAGCTTTTCGTATGTTTTGGGACTCATCATTTATTCAAAATCTTGAAAAGTAATATTTTATATTCAGAAGTACTTTTTTCTGAAATTTACGATGTAGAACACAAATTTACTATGCAGTCAAGTTGGAGATATTCGACCATTAAGTATGTGTCGCTTTTCACCTGATGGTAAACAATTGGCTACGTCTTCTTGGAGTGGTCTATGTCGTTTATGGTCTATACCTGATTGTAATTTAGTTATGAATTTACGTGGACATACTGCACCAACTTGTGCTATTGTTTGGCATCCTCAAGCTGGTCTCCAGTCGGAACAACAATTAGCACTTGCCAGTTCAGCTCAAGTATGTTATTTATATTTTTGTGTCTATTATATTGTGTTTTTTTCAAGAGAAAATGTATGGAAAACCGATTTGTAATAAGGATCCTGTACTTTAGTGAAGGAGAACACAGGTGAGGACAACCAAATTGTATTTAGCACAAAATTACAGAGTTACTTGGTAAAATAAAAAAAACCATATAGTAAATCGTTAATTTGCAAAATATCATTCCATCATATCAAACCAGATTGTTGCTGTTGCAAACATCAATCCATTGTCTCATATTTCATTGTTCATGCGATTTCTTACAAATTCCATTGTGTTCCCGCTCTTCCTTTCTTGATCTTCCGCATCTTCTGCTGCCAGCCATTACGTTCTTTTAACTCATGTTATATACTACTTATATCAATATAAGTAGCACGCACCACACTCGTTCCCCCTTTAATAAGTTGCCGTCGTAGTCTTTCTGATCTCCGTACCGCTGTCTTCTTTGGTGCTTTTCGTGACTCACGCCCATGATGATCTTGTAACCATCTCTGCAGTTGACTAGCATTTACGCGCTTCTGCTTGTCTTCTCTCCGGATCGTGTAGACCGAGCCGCGTCTCTCTGTGATAACATACGGTCCTTCCCACTTTGGGATCAGCTTTTCCAACCCTGCTCCCCCTGCTATGTTACTTTTTCGTTCTCTACACTTTACTAGGTCCCCCACTGCAAAGAGTTTCCATGTTCTCCTCTGTTGTTCCGCCTTCTTTATGTCTGATATTTGTTTCTTTCCCACGTTTCTTATTGCCTCCCTCCTCTCTTTTCATAACCTTGTTGTCGTCCATTTCTGTTGTTACGGCCAGGTCTTATTATGCATTGGTAGTCGTGGCTGTCTGCCATACATGAGCAAGAAAGGTGACTTCTTGGTTGTTCCTTGTGTGGAGGAACGATGTGCCAGCAAAATCAATGGTAACTCTTTCTCCCAATTTCCTCCTTTTGATGCTAACCATTCCTTTAACGTCCGATTGTTTCTCTCTGTAAGCCCGTTTGTCTGAGGATGATACGGTGTAGTTCGTATTCTCTTGATGCCAAACTGCTTTAAACGGGCTTTAAACTCGTCACTTTCAAAACAGGGACCCTGGTCAGTTAATATCATCTTCGGTATTCAGTGACACGCTACAATGTGCCGGATTACCACCTCGGTCACTGTCCTTGCCCGCTGGTCTGCAATGGGTACGGCATCTACCCAACGTGTAGCATGTTCCGTCATCACTAACAGGTACTGGTTACCGCTCGCCGTCTGTGGAAACGGTCCCATCATATCCACCAACCATATATCACCGACTGCGGGTACTGGGATTGACTGTAATGGCGGTTGTGTGTATCGATCGCTGCTGGCAAGTTAACACGTATTCAACCACATCTTTTCTCATGCCCGGCCAGTATGCACTTTGTCGTAGTAAATCCGTCGTTCTTGCAATGCCTGTATGTGCTACCTGGTGACACTCGTGTATCACTTTACACCGCCAGCCTTTCGAGATCACAGCCACTCAATTCTCGTCATCGTCCTGCAAGGTCAGGACTCCATATGCGTTCACTCTCAGTCGTTCCTTTTGCCGAAGCAGCTTTATTACCTCCTTGTCCATTGTTCGTTCGTCTACGTCTGCTCCCACTTTTATCACTCTGATTACCTCTCAAAGGTTAGGGTCAGCTTTCTGTTGCCGGACGAGTTCTAATGGGTCTCCCTCTAAACTATTCACCGCGTATGCTGTCAATGGAAGGTCGGCTTCCATGTTTGGTCTTGGCAAGTAATCCGCCATTACGTTTTCTTTTCCTGGAACATGGCCGATACTGAAGTCGTATTCTTGCAGACGTATCATCCATCGCGCCAACTTCCCTCGGGGGTCTCTTGCTGTTTTCAACCACTGCAGGGGTTTATGGTCGGTCTCAATGTGAAATCGTCTACCTAAAATGTACGGTCTCCATTTTTCTACTGCCCACACGATTGCTAAACACTTCTTTTCGATGGTTGAATACTTCTGTTCAGAGGGTGTGAGGACGTGACTCGCGTATTCCACTACTCTACCGGCCTGACTCAACACAGCACCTATACCATGATCGCTCGCGTCTGTTTTCCCGGTTGAGGCAGTCTGAGCGTCATCTGGCGATCGTCTAGCATGTTTTTGATTCGGTTGAACGTTTGTTCGGCAGTCTCAGTCCACGTAAACTTGGTGCTACTCAATAACTTATATAAGGGTGCTGCTATTTCGTTGAAATTCTTGACAAACCGACTGTAGAACGCCGCTCTTCCCAGGAACTGTCTCAACTTCCTTTTCGAATTAGGTACTGCAATATTTTTTATGGTAAGAATTTTCTCCGGTAATGGTTTTATTTCTCCATTTCCCACTTTATGTCCCAACAATGTGACGCTACTTCTCGCTATCTGCGACTTGTCCTTATTAATCCGAAGTCCAAATTCGTCAATTCGCTTTAAGACCGCTTCCACATGTTTGATGTGGTCTGTTTCTGTTTGACTGTACACAACTACATCGTCGCCATATACGTCGACATTATCTAGATTCTTGAGCAGTAGTGTCATTAATCTTCTGGACTTGAACGGTGCACCCGCCAACCCGAACGGCATTCGTTTAAATTGATACAGTTTATCACGTACAGTAAACGTTGTCTTGCTTCGATCACTCTGTTTTATAGGCAGTTGCCAATAACCTGACCGTAAATCCAGCACTGTAAACACCGTGGCATTCTGTAGTCGATCTAATGTTTCCACCACTGTTGGCATTGCACAAGGCTTCAGGTCTGTTATATTATTCATTTCTCTGAAGTCGACACAAAATCTATACTTTCCATTTGGTTTCTTTACCAAGAGTACCGGCGAGCTATATGGACTGCCCGCTTCCTCAATTATACCTTCTTTTAACATTTCCTGGACCTGACGATTTACCTCGGCCTCTAAATGCACCGGGACACGACGTGTTGCAAATATATTTACTCGACTGTTCTTTATCGGGATTTCGTGGTTTACTTTGTCACAAAATCCATACGGCTCCCCATCTCCAGTGAACAGTTTCGCATACTTTTTGCATAACTCGTTAATGTTTGGTTTCTTCGACGAGACATCCGCTGCCACTCTTATTTCAGCCACTTCGCTACTTTCGTGTATTGGCAATGAACCATACTTTGTTACCACCTTACCGCTTCTTAAGTCAACTATCGCTTTTACTTCTCTTAGGAAATCTGCTCCTAATATCGGTCTCGATAAGCTTGTGGTTACCACGAACGGAAAATTTATCTCAGCATCTCCCACTTTTACGATACTGTTGGATACGCCAAACACTTCTAACATATGGCCTCCTATAGTGTGGACAGCTAATGTGCACGGCTTGAGTCTCTTACATTGCTCTTTGCCTATTAACGATACTGCTGCCCCTGTATCGATCAGACAAACTAAATCTCGTTCATTTATGTTCAATCTCGTATACACTACCCCTCTGTCTATTAACGCAACAACCCCCAGATTCCTAGGATAGAAAGAACACTCGTTGTAACGTCTAACATATCTGCGTCTTCGTCTTGTTGGACAGTTTATCTTCCAATGTCCTGTCCCTCAAAAAGCGTAACACTTATCGTTCCTTTTATGGTTCACTTGTATTGCTGCGATCTCATGCTCCAGTTCTTCAATCTTCTTCTCGACATTACTTATCTCCTGCTTTTCGCACCCGACTGGAGCTACTGTTCGCGTCATCAGCTGACGAGTCACCTTCGCCAGTTCACTGATATCCATCGGTTGTGCTGCGTTCACCAGTTTCAGCTGTTAGGAGACGGTGGCAAGCACACTCGATAAACTGCGACGCCAACAACTGTGCCTCCGTAACAATATGGTAAGCTCCACAGCCAGCACCAGTGGGTCACCATCGACCGGCAACCTCGCCAACCGGAAATTCTGCAGTACCTCCTCTCTGTCCACTGGGCTGTCGAACTCCGACACCAACCGCTCCGTGACTGTCTCCCATATCGTCTTCCGAGCTGTCATATACAGCCTTCGCCCTGCCTCTCAGCAGCGTCCACAGCCCTTCCAACTTCGCCTTCGGCTCCTTCACTCCCACCAGCTCCGCCACGGCCTCAAACTCCACCTCTTTCAGGGTTTCTCCATCAAGCATGACTGGGTTGGTGTTCTTCGTGTTGTATTTGAGGATGTTGCTTTAGCCCTTGTGTATGTTGAGGCCTCCTGCTTCAGAGACTTTTTCTACACTGGTTATCTTGACCTGTATTTGTTGGTGTATATGGGATAGAAGAGCTAGGTCACCTGTGAAGTCCAAATCGTCTAGCTGCATCCAACTTGTCCATTATATTCCGTGATTCCCGTCAGATGTAGGGGCCTTCATAATCCAGTCAACCACCAGGAGAAAGAGAAAGGAAGAGAGTAGGCAGCCTTGTCTTTCTCTGGCCCTCACTTGGAATGCGCTTATCAGCTGCCTTCTATGCACCACTTTGCAGTGTAGTCAGTCGTATGATTCCGTATGATGTTGACGAATTTCTGAGCTACTCCATAGTGTCGAAGAAGTTTCCATAATGTTCTCTTCTCCACACTGTCAAATGCTTTCTCATAATCAAGGAAGTTGATCTATAGTGACGATTTCCATTCAATTGAATGTTCAACGGTGATCCGTAGTGTCGTGATTTGGTCTGTTGATCTCGAAGCTGGGCGTCTAATGAATCCTTCATTCGGTTCGGAAACACTGTTGAAAACGTTTCCTGGTACCGATAGTAGTGTAATGCCTGTATAGTTCTCACATTTACTCAGATTTTCTTTCTTTGGTACGTTGGCGAGGTATCCGTCTTTCCAGTCTGTCAGTGGCACTCGTCCTTCCTCCCAAATCTTCCTGAACAGAACGTGGATAGTCTCTGCAGTTCCTTTCATGTCTGACTCCAGTGCTTCAGTTGGTATAGTGTCTGGTTATGCTGCTTTCGCACTCTTGGTTTGTCTGGTGACCATGCTGATTTATTCGATCATTGGTGGAGTGACATCTATAGGAAGGTCTGTGCGTGCTGCTTCGAAGTCTGGTGGACTCAACGAAAGTGGCCTGTTCAGGAGCTCCTCGAATGTTTCAACCCATCTGTTATACTGTTCTTGAATTTCAGTGATTGGCTTTCCTTTTTTATCCTTGACGGATCCCTCTGATTTACTGCATTTCCCTTCTAGTTTCTTTGTTGTATCATATTTCCTTCTTTTGGAGCTTTTTCCTCTGATCAATTGCAGTCTCTCGTAGAACTGATCTTTATCGTCACCGTTGCTATCATTGTTATTATTTATTTAAACACATAAATACTGGTACAAAGGGGCGCCGAATTCATATGCGCCATACAATGGGACCACACCCGGAGCCTTTAGACCTAAATGTCTAGTCCACAAGGCAGTTGAGCAACGTCAGTTGGTGCAGTCCCATGGTAGCCGCTGACCAATAATAGGTTAATACGCCTTTTGTTCCTTATCATGGACAGGACTAACTGAAGAATTACTGATGTATTGTACAAGAGTTTTCTTATAGATATTGCACAAAATATTTTTTTAAGCTTTGCTTGTAAAACCCTATATCATCTTTTTATTTCAGGACGGAAGCGTTAAACTATGGAGTTTAGATAATGAAGAACCTTTGGCCGATATCGAAGGTCACGCACCTCATCGAGTATCCCGCTTAGCTTTCCATCCTTCTGGACGCTTCCTAGCAACTACGTGCTTCGACCACTCGTGGCGCTTATGGGATTTAGAGGCTTGTGAAGAAATTTTACATCAGGAAGGTCATTCTAAGCCGGTATATGATGTAGTTTTCCACCCTGATGGCTCCTTAGCTCTAACCACTGGTTTAGATGGATATGCTCGTGTTTGGGACTTACGAACAGGCCGTTGCATCATGTTCCTAGAAGGTCACCTTGAAGAGTTGTTGGGTGCAGATGTAGCTGATAATGGTTATCATGCAGCCACTTCTAGTGCAGATAACACTGTTCGTATTTGGGATTTACGACAACAACAAGCAATCTATGTAATACCAGCTCACACAAGTGTTGTAAGCAGCGTGCGATTCGAATGTAAGTTGATTATTTCAGAGGAATTTCTGGCAGTATTGCTGGCCAACTTCCAGATAATTGTAGGATGAGCATTTCGTAGGTATGAATTTATTTGATCAAATTGATTGCTCTATCACATTACTAATACTAGGTCGCGTAATTATAGTTCGAAAAAGCTATTCACTCACTTTTTCCTGACCATAGCTATTTATATGTGAAATTATTTATGGATGAAACCGGAAATATTTGTTTTTGACTAGATCGACGAGAATGCAGTTCACTAACTTCTCACAAGTTTATGCACTAGGATAAACTCTACTTGCTTTTCCAAGGTTGTCGATACTACTCAGTTCCATTACGGTTTTAACTTGTTGAGTCGCGATTTCTGAGAAAAGTTGTGATCTGAAAGCCGAATATCATGCTTTCTACTTTTGTTCTATTCACAGCACGCAACTGCAACTATATTGTTACCAGTTCGTTTGACAAAACAACCAAAATTTGGGGTCATCCTATCTGGACACCTATCAAAACCCTCGAAGGACATAACAGTAAAGTTGTTTATGCAGATATTTCACCAGACAATAAGTACATTGCAACCTGTTCCCACGACCTAACTTATAAACTGTGGAGTAGAGAAGCAAATTGATCCTCATTGTTACAACATATGTTAATAATATTTCTATAATACATTGTAAAATAATTCAATTATACACTCATGGTTCTGATTTCTAAATTTGACTATTCAGCGACTTAGTATTGTTTTCCTAGAAACTTGACATTTAGGTTTGGGGCGAACACGTCTGGATTCTTCAAACCATCACGTACAATGTCACCTGGCATACAATTAGATTAATAGACTGGTGACCAACGAACCGAGACGTGGCACTAGCCCGTGAAATCACTGATCATCGGTCTGCGCCATGTCCGTATGCCCAAACTCTTTGGTCAGGGCCCACACAATCGCAATGAATAGTCGGTCAGTGACATGTTGGTCTTCATTCTCAGTCCCTCTCCTAAGCCTTCAGTTAGTTAACGATTTCTGTCCATCAATTGTCGTTGCTCGTTTCTAACTATAATTTCGACGTTTTCATTGTTGTCAGTATTGTTCTTTTTTGTATGATTTCCTTATACTCTGCTGACAAAAGGTTCAACGACTTGAAAACCAGTTGCACACTCACGTCAAGTTGTGCGTCGCTACTGACTAACTTATATTCAAATACTGAGTCGGGAATCACCCAACTACATTTCCCACAGCTTTTCAACTGTTAACTAACTTTCTTTCTTAGTCTTCGTCTAGCCCAGGAAATTTCACTTAGTTTCGGGACAAAACCTATTTTTTTAACTTATCGAATATCTGCAGTTTACTTCAATATATCATAAGATAACTCAAATCAGCACAAGATTATTTGCAAATCGTGTCCGAGGTTTAAAGGAATATGAGTACTGGATGATCTTCATTTAAATATCAAGAAAAGAATATCTAAATGTTATTGGTTTCTTTCTATTAATGCCCAATGTATTTTTAAACGATTTTAACATAAAACGAATAACCCTTATAGTTCTCAGTTAAAAAAATACCCATTCTGAAATAGATAACTTCTCTTAAACTATACAAATAATACTGCACATTAGGTTATTGACAGATGATTCAAAATCACTGATCAAAGTATTTAACTAAAGAGTTTCATCTAAAGAATCCAGTAAATGGATTTTTATAATGTGGAAAAAGGATACAAACCAGTATAACAGATGAATAACAAATATATCAACAAAATGCACTTCCAAAAATAACCGGAAGAACAGTAAATCAAATGAAAATGAAAAGTACACAAATAACATCTACATGCAATACTGTTGAATGTACAACGCATTATGATTATTACAGTAAAAAAACAAACTTTCCTTGCATGTTTTGAAAATAACCACACCGAATTCAGAAATTGCACTAATTTTAAGATGTGGAGGAATTTTCGTTTAAGCAAGGAGTAAAAGTTAGGAGAAGCCTCCAAACACACTGTTAATACTGCACAGGAGTTTGATTAATGTAAACTGAAAAACTTTGATAAAATACAAATGCGGGTGCTACAAATTATTTTGCATGATAAACAAGTATAAGACAAAAACAACATGATAATTTATGCCGTGAACCTGATGCAGAAAAATCTATAGGAAAATTAACACTCTGTCAATAGGCGCAGTGATTGGAATAAACAAAGTAACGTACGTGTTGTAACAGAAAAATTATATGAAAAAATGGAAGCGAAACTAATATTGCAGGATGAGGTGAATCAGGTCATGGGTTGAAATATTCGCGTTGAGCGAATGAGACTAGAATGGGTAACCCTGAAATCAACGAGTTATTCAAATTCACTGATATATATATATAGCATATTCAAAGAAGGGAACGAGAAGACAAATTTTTAGATCAGAGTGGCCGGCACTTCTTGTAATATCATAGATTCAGAAGTGGCATGATCTGTACCGGAGATGGTTGTTCTTTTGAAATCTAATGTTGAACTAGCTACACTGGTGTCCAGATTCAAACACTCAGATTTCTGTCTGAGATTTTGGATTTGACTGATTCCCAGCAGTAATCGTGCTGCATCAACAGCCGTCTGTTTACTAATACAAATAAATAAAAAAAAAGTAAAATTTCACTCGATATTGCAAGGTATGGACACAACTTTATTGTCAAGCAACTAAAATTGGTGACCACATTGCAACTTTCAGCACTGAAGACTGGGACATATAACATTGCTAACAGTAAGTTTTCCAATGATACACCTGCAGATAAAGCACATGTCCAAAAAAGATAAAAACTCACAAGTTTAACAGTGACATGAAAACAAGACTTGTATATTTCAGTGAGATCATGAACCGATCTAAGTTCTGTCACTTTTGGAAACCTGGACGGGCCGTCTCGTCCCAGTACGCGACTCCGGCGGTGGTGCACATCCGCAACTTTGCACTCGTGCGCGAAACACTATCTCAAGTCTACTGAAATCTCACTTCAAAGTACACATTCAAGACTTCAATGTACGTACCCTATGTCAAATCGATCAGCAGACATCCTTGACTAAGAATCCCATACAATTGTTGTATGCTGTCTCCGAAACACATAAAGATTCCTAGTGTGTTCAACTCACTTGACCTCACCTCGCCGAAACAGGGAGCCGACGAGATACGCCCTCCGTTCATCTGGCGACCCAATGGTAAGTTCTCTTGAACTGGCAGGTGTAAACATAGCACTAAGTATGATCTTTCTGCCTACCACTCCCCACTGACTGCAACCCGGATGACGTAAAAGATGAATTTTACAGAAAGCTTTCTGAACTACTTCAAAAACCTAAACACTCAGAAATATTGCGCGTAGCAGGTGGCTTTAATGCGCATTAGGTAGCTTAAACCAAGAAAGAAGGCATTTAAATGGGTATTTTGGTATTCCCGTTCAGTGAACAGGTAATGGTGACCGTCTGTTGCAACTGTGCTCAGAGAATCGCTTATTTTTAGCAAGCACTGATTTTAAACATAAGGAGAGACATCGTCTAAAATGGCGAACCTTTGCACTAAACCAACGACAGACTCAAATAGACGACTGAAGTCACAGTAAGGTAATTCCGAAAACGAGGATGACCGAGATAACGCTTGGGAAGCTATATGAACAGCTGTTGAAACAACAGGGACATCTATTAGTGATTTGATCTAAAGAATCATGAAAAACCAGTTGATTTCCGCGACATAAAATCTCGTTAACTTTTACCAAAATGCTAGTAACATGACGAGCGAAAATATATCAGATGTAGGTTAACCAAAAGTCTACAAGACGATCGTGAGTAGCGGTGGGCGACAAAAGCAAACAAGATGGAAAAGACAGCGGCTGTAGGTAACACAAAACAGCTTTTCAGATTAATAAAAGAAACCAGAATTAAAAAATCAAGTGTACGTGAGAGTTTCAGCAAAAGAGGTCACTCTTATCCGCTCGTTTATAGTGATTGTCGGAACACTAGGGAGCAGTTTATTTGACCTTCAGCTACTCTATAGCTACCCACCATTCCCAGACAGCCTGAATAGAACATTGATATGTTTCCTACCAACTCTAGTTGAAGTTCAAAAAGTTATAACTAATCTGAAACGAGGAAGAGTAGCGGATCCAAATGGATTTACTCCAGAGGTCTCTAAGGATGGTGGTCCAGCTTCAGCGATTAGGTTGACTAATATTTTAACTAGGGAATTGGACGTAATCCCATCTGACTGGTCGTAATCACTGATCGACCAAATATATAAGGGGTCTAAACCATCCTGTGTACCTCAGAAGTACAAAAACTTTAAAAGAGCTCTTTACTCAACAACGACTAATCGAGTCGACCCTTATGGTGAGCTGTCATCTGATTTTGAAACCTCAAGTGGTATCCGTCAAGGTTGTCCACTATCGCTATTTTTGTTCAGCTTCATTGTAGACATACTAATGGGAATAATGTTCTCGTCGTCTGAATTTTCGGACATTGATCTCCTTCCAGGAGGTCCACTTATCGACTTAGAATACGAAGATAACATAGTCTTGTTTGATGAAGACGCTAATAAAATGCAGAGTCTTTTGATAGCGCTGGCCAACAATGCCAGAATGTTTGGGATGCGCTTCTCCCCATCTAAATGCAAGTTGTTGCTTCAGGACTGGCCTGCGTCAACACTTGAACTAAGGATACGATGTGAAGTAGTCGAACGCGCCCACAACTCCACGTATATTGGAAGTCTGATCAGCTCAATGGGTTGGTATCTGATGAAATTTCAGCACGGATTCAGAATGCTCGTTTGGCTTTTACCAACTTACGTCACCTATGACGAATGCGAGATATTCGGGACGAGTATAGTGCGCGGCAGTTCGTTCTGTTCTACTTTACAGCTGCGAAACGTGGCCATTAAGAGTAGAAGACACTCGTAAGCTATTAGTATTCGACCACAGATGCCTTATAAATATTGCCCTCATCTTCTGGGATCACCGGGTACGTAATAGTGAGGTTAGACGCAAGGCATTAGGGAATGATGATAAATCAGTTGATGAGGTTGTGAATCTTTATCGACTGACATGTTTGGGTCACGTGCTACGTATGCCTGAACACCGATTACCACAACGCGCATTGCTGACTGGTGTTGAGGATGGTTGGAAGAAAGTTGAGGGCGGCCGAACCAAAACGTGACATCGGTCTATAAAGTCATTAACTTCTAGTCTGAGCCATGTTGGTAGATGCAGACTACTTGGTTGGAACCCGCATGACTCTCGTAACCAATGGTTGGGACTCTGGGTGACATGGCTCAGAATCGATCACAACGGTGTAGGTGTATACACTCTGTCTTCCCTCAAACTAAGAGATTAGAATTATTTCATATCTTTCTTTCTACGTACTAATTCTTTTTTCCTGTATCATGTCCTTGTATGAAATCTTCCTTACTTAGACGTAAGCATATATGTGCCTGGTCCTACGTCGTAGTTGACTGATTAGTTGCCGTTTTTGTGATATTAGAAACTAATTATTTGAGATTTTATACAATATGACTGACTTGAAACAGATATATACTCACTTAAAAAACTAGGGATTTAAAATATTGAATACGAATTATAACAGAATCACTATTGATATTTATAACATAAACTAACTTGCGTTTTAAAACAGGCTCCTCTGCTGTCTGTTTATAGGTTTGAATTTTATCACATTCATCATCAGGAAAACCGTTGTGACTTCTTCTTAACTTAACACAATTAATTGAAGGTTCATCTATTTCCCGCCCAACGGACCACTTCATAGAAGCCCAACCACCAGCGACATCAAGATGTGTCTCCTGTTTTTTTGTTTGCGATCGTTTGTTAAGTTGATGCGATGAGCTTAAGGTCATCCTGTTTTTGCTTACTTGTAATGTGGAAGCAGCACATAAATAACTTTCTTCTTGATCAGAACTAAAATCATAGTCCTCCAAATTAGGAGGCGAACGATCAACGATGTTATCTAAGTGTGTTTGTGTACTTGAAATAGGTTGACGAGCGCGTTTTAATGATCGGTGATGATTATGATACCGATATCGACCATTCTCAATATCCACAGATTTCTCAGCACTCTCTGAATCAATATCTGACTGACTATTAGGCGAATGGCGACTGTAACGTTCCATCATACTAGATCGAGCACTGGAACTAAAATTTCCTTCCTTTTCATCAAAAATCAATATTCTTGACTCATCATCTAATTCATAATTATAGTATTGAGACTTCTCAAAGTCATCATATGGACGGCGAGGAGCCTTTATAACTCGTTTGGATCTTCGAGTGGGACAACTGTTTAATGAAGATAATTTCATTGATCTCGTTCCCTTACGCTGCTTAACATTACGAGATGAAATTCTAAAGGGACGTGTCTTACGAGCTTCGAAATACGGTGAAACCATATGCTGGCGACGAGAGCTCCTTTTGCAAAAAGTATATTCGCAATCACAAAGATCCTGACTACCCGAGTCCTTTAATTCATGGTTTCCTCCATCAAAATCCTCTTCACTGTATATATCATTTCCTGATGAACTGAAGCCGTCATCAAATTCATCTGTTTCATAATTAGCATCTGTTTCTAGAACTATGGAATCCACAAAAGCTTTGAGAAGCGGATAGAGGTTCATTAATTCTGACAGTCTACCTGTATAGTAGTTGTCGTTAAATTTATTTACAAGCTGATTTTCTTCAGGTCGGCGCAGTTGGGCTTGGCAATGAGAATATTCATGGTCAATGTACGGGGGTGGTGTGACGTAAACTTCATCTGACGAATAAATTAATGTTTCAGGGTTGGCTGATTTTTTGTCACATGAATCTATATCACTTTCATTTGCCTCGGCAACTGGTGAAGCTGACTTAGAAATCCTAGTAGCCGTTGTCTTAACAAGTGGTCCACCAGCGGGCCCCGGTTCCTGATCACAGTCCAACATGTTACCAATATCAAGATCATATTCTTTGAGCGCCGAACGAACGTAATTGCTATTAAGGACCTCATAACGCTTAGCCAGACAGGATTCACAACCAGATGTATTTTCCTTACACTCATTACACTTGCCTATGAAAGACACATGTAAAATAATGATTATTAGGTCAAAGAAACACAAGCAATATATTTCACAAATGAAGTCCCTTTTTATACGAAGATCTATATAAAATCTAAGAGAGTACTTAGAACTTTAAAGACTTTATTATTCATTGATCAAACTTAGAATAAATATTAAACTAAGATTCTACTCAAGATCCACTGTAGTAATGTCAGCACTTCAAGTAAAGCACGGTTAAAGAATATGAAGGAACCTGATAAATCAACTAAATGTTAACTGCAATTAACCTTTACCTAACATTTAAAAGCCTTAATCTACGTTCTGCTTGAATAAAACACACGGTGTTCCCTTCTGGTTAATTTTACAGTTAAAAATCGCCTAACTATTAGGTTGGACAAGTTGAGAAAATTATATTATAGGTGAGAAGTATTAGTAATCTCTTATTCGCAGCAACATGAATATACATCTTTAAAAAAATGTTGAGAGGTATTAAGTAATAAGTTCCCAAACTCCAGGGCAATTCACGATTATTCTTCCTAACCAAAAGTCTAATTCATGAAACACGGCAGACTATTGTGTTGCAACTATAGTGTGTAGCACTGAATTTATTATCGTTAAAAGTACCATGCAGTTATAAATGAATTGAATTGCGCACAGAAGCGTTTGCAACCTGCATTCACATATACAAACTTACTTATACGGGTTGGTAACAAGCGTGATTTTCTTTTTTGTTTAGTGACCAGTTTCGCATCATCCAAAATATGAGTACCGATAAAGCCTATAGGGAAGAAATACACTTCGTTATCGGTGAAGATAAGAAGCAAAAACTACTAACTACAATAGACAAATGTTTAAAATTATCGAGACGGTAGTTAGTGTAACTATCATAGAGAAAGAGTAAAGACCTTACCTATTCTTTAGCTACTTTTCAATTGCTTCAAAGTACTGACCTGTTTCACGAAGAGACTATTAAAATGCATCCCTATGTGCATATTCAGTGATCATATCACAATGTTTTTACGAGGTTTCCTTCTAACATAAAATGTTTTTTGTGTAGTTGTATCTCGATCATATGAAGTGAAGTAATTTGATAAGCTAACGTTCTCACTCACTGCTAAATTCTTATTAATTCTCGTGAATGGTGAAACCCAAAAACACCGATTGGATATAGTAGAGGGTGGATATTACATGCACCAGCACGGTCTGTATAACTTTAAGTGTGAAACCCGGCCGTAGCTGCTAATTTGACGTGGTGGTCAGGCTTGCTTATCGTGATGACCCGACCGAGCTACATTGGCTGGAACATATATTCCTGCAGGTTCTACCATACCAAGGCAGGTCGATTAGAGAACGGTAAGACTAAAAGCAGCAACTCTAGGTCTGAAGGCGAAGTCGTACTGCTGACTGTAGAGGGGTGTGACAGCAGTGAAGTGTTTCCCTCGGACAACCAGCATCTGCAGCGATGCTGCCTTCTCACAAGGAAGGTAGGAAGGGGTTAAAAAAGGTCACCCCTAAAAACGACAAACCTCACCTTAACTGACGGATTTCCGTCTCCAGCGGTAAGGCCTTTTGAAGAATGGAGCTAACACGTTAAAAAGGGCCGTGTGCGACCAGCCTCGAACAATTGTCCCTTGGGTTCTGTGGTCACGCTCCCAGGTCGTTAAGACCAACACTAATCCGATTTCCTTTTCAGGTTCCTAAAGAAATACCCTTCCACGGTGTGGGCAGCCGGGAAGTGACATCAGCCTCATAACCGTAACAGTACACGAGACCAAGTCGGTTATATTCAAATCCTTCTGACTGAGGAACTGACGACGTTGTTCGCAAAGGTCTGGGGGCTAGAGAGTGTACCAATGTCATGGAATGAGTCGATAGTTGTCCCTATCTTTAAAAAAGGTTCACGTCGTTCCTGTAACAACTATCGGGGGATAAGTCTACTTCCGGTTGCGTCCAAGCTATTGGCTTCCCTCATACTTCGTAGGTTTTTCAAAACCCGAGAAAGACTGACTCGCGAGGAGCAGGCTGGGTTTCGTTCTGGTTGAGGATGTATTGCCCGATCGAAGCTGCTACTTTGACGCGGTGGTCGGGCTTGCCTATCGTGATGACCCAACCGAGCTATATTGGCTGGAACATATGTTCCTGCAGGTTCTACCATGCCAGGCAGGTCGATTGGCGAACGGTAAGACTAAAAGCAGCAACTCAAGGTCTGAGGGCGAAGTCGTACTGCTGACTGTAGAGAGGTGTGACAGCAGTAAGGTGTTTCCCTCGGACAACCAGCATGACAGCGATGCTGCCTTCCCACAAGGAGGGGTGGGGTTAGAAAAGGTCGACCCTAAAAATGCACACCTCACCTTATCTCACGGATTTCCGTCTCCGGCGGTAAGGCCCCTTGAAGAACGGAGCTAACACGTCAAAAACCTTCCACAAAAAGGCCGTGCGCGACCGGCCTCAAGCAGTTGTCCCTTGGGCTCTGCGGTCACGCTCCCAGATCGTCAAGACCAACACTAATCCAATTTCCTTTTCAGGTTCATCAAGAAATACCCTTCCACGGTGTGGGCAGCCGGGAAGTGACATCAGCCCTCATACCCGTAACAGCACATAAGACCAAGGTGGTCACATTCAAATCCTCCCTACACCTCCTAATACCTCTCTTATCCTCCCGACTAACCCTCCTCACGTCTCTTTATCACCTCGCACCGCTAGGGCAAACGATTCGAGTACGTGGAACGCCATTCCTGGTCTCCTGAAACCACGCTCTAAACTACACGTAGGAGCTTTTAACGTACGAACACTGTGCCAAATAGGACAGCAGGCTTCCTTAGCTAGGACTTTAGAATCTCGCGCCATCGATGTGTGCTGCGTCTCCGAAACGCGCATACAAGATCCGAGTAGCGTCATTCATTTGACCTCACCATGCCAAAATAAAGAACCGACTCGATTTACGCTTCGTGTATCTGGAAGCCCTGATTCTGCTTCCCGTGGCCTCGCCGGCGTAGGTATAGCATTGAGTCCTAGGGCAGAACTAGCTCTCTTAGAGTGGATCCCAGTAAACAGTCGTTTGTGCGCTGTCCGACTAAACGGAACAGTAAGAATCCGGAAAGATAGGGACACTCGTCGTTGCCTCTTCATCGTCTCTGCCTATTCTCCCACTGACTGCAGCTCAGATGATGTAAAAGATGAGTTTTACAGAAAGCTTTCGGACCTTCTCCGAAAAGCTAAGCGCTCGGATGTAGTAATGATGGCCGGTGACTTTAATGCTCAAGTAGGTAAACTAAGCGATAAGGAAAGACACCTAGGTGGATCCTATGGTGTCGTGGCTCAAAGAACAGATAATGGCGACCGCCTGTTGCAGCTATGCTCAGATAACCGCCTGTTCATTGTAAATACTAACTTTAAGCATAAGGAAAAACATCTTTTAACATGGCGACCCCCTAATTCGTCCCAACGTTGGACCCAAATAGATCACATCGCTATCAGCCACCGATGGAGGGGCTCGATAGAAGACTGTCGCTCATTCTGGAGCACATGCCTAGATTCAGATCATGCTCTAGTGCGAGCGCGTATTTGCTTGCGTCTTACTGGACGTAGGAAAGATCCTGCAAGGAAACCTCTTAGGGCCCTACTTAATGATAGTCAAGCTAAGAATATATTTCAGGAACAACTAGGAAAACAGTTAGGAAGCCATGTATGTGATGCCCACCCCGAGGCAGCATGGAACGATATCCGAAAAGCTGTGGAAACAGCAGTGATATCTGCTAGTAAGGTAAACCGTAAAGTTAGGGAGCAACACTGGATCTCAGCAGCATCTATCGCACTGATAGATGCTCGGAAACTCATTCCACCTGGCTCTGAACATAATGAAGAGCGGAGTCAGCTTAGGCGCAAGCTGACAAGAAGTCTACGCAATGATCGCGAACAGTGGTGGGTAGCGAAAGCAAGAGAGATGGAAAAGGCAGCGGCAATAGGTAATAGCAGACAATTGTTTAGACTCGTTAAGGAAACCGGAATTAGGAACCCGACCGTTAGCGAAACAATCTCAGAGAAAGATGGACATATTATTCATTCTCAATCCAGGAGATTGGATCGATGGGCAGAACACTTTAGGGATCAGTTCAACTGGCCTTCAGCCACACTTCGGTTTCCCACGATCTCCAGTCAACCTGAATCGCAAGTTAATGTAAGTCCTCCGTCCCTTTACGAAGTTGAAAAAGCCATAGGAAATCTGAAACGAGGGAGAGCAGCAGGCCCTGACAGGTTTACTCCTGAGATTTTTAAGGATGGTGGTCCAGTATTAGCAGCAAGATTGACTGAGGTCTTAGGTAGAATTTGGGAACTGGACGTAATCCCATCTGACTGGTCTCAATCACTGATTGTGCCAGTTTTTAAGAAAGGACAAAAGTCCTCTTGTGACAATCACAGAGGAATCAGTTTGACTAATATAGTGTCTAAAATATTGGCCTCAATAATACTTCGACGCCTAACTAAAGCTCGTGAAGAGCAGACTAGACAAAACCAGGCTGGTTTTCGACCTGGACGTGGTTGTATAGATCAGATATTCACACTACGTCAGGTTCTAGAACAGAGACACACATTCAGACGCCCCACAATGGTAGTATTTCTCGACCTTAAGGCGGCATTCGACTCCGTTGATCGTGAGGTTCTATGGCAGTGTTTGTCACTGAAAGGAGTACCAAAGAAGTACATTAACCTTATAAAGGCTCTCTACTCGAACACAACTGGTAGAGTGAGAGCTTATGGTGAACTGTCATCAGAATTGATCACCTCAAGTGGTGTTCGTCAGGGCTGTCCACTCTCCCCATTCTTGTTCAACTTTGTCATTGACGTACTTTTAGAGATAACACTCTCCTCATCTAAATTTACAGGGGTTGAACTTCTACCAGGAGGTTCACTTGTTGACTTAGAATATGCAGATGACATAGTTTTATTTGGTGAAGATGCTGACAAAATGCAGAGTCTTCTGACCACTCTAAGCAACAATGCAAGCATGTTCGGGATGCGATTCTCTCCCTCGAAATGCAAAATGTTGCTTCAGGATTGGGTTACATCGACACCCGAACTAGTGATAGGGAGTGAAGTAGTTGAGTGTGTCGACCGCTTCACTTATCTTGGAAGTCTCATCAGCCCTTGTGGTTTGGTGTGTGACGAAATCTCAGCACGGATACAGAAGGCTCGACTAGCTTTTGCCAACTTACGTCATTTATGGCGTAGGCGAGATATCCGTCTATCAACCAAAGGACGTGTTTACAGCGCAGCAGTTCGTTCCGTCCTACTTTATGGCAGTGAAACATGGCCGGTAAGAGTAGAGGATATCCGTAGGTTACTAGTATTCGATCATAGGTGTCTTCGAAACATTGCTCGTATATCATGGGACCATCGAGTAAGTAACACAGTTGTTAGGAAACGGGTACTAGGTAAGGATGGAAAATCAATTGATGACGTAGTGAAACTTCATCAGTTGAGATGGCTGGGACACGTGTTACGTATGCCCAACGACCGACTGCCTCGACGTGCTATGTTCAGTGGTATAGGAGTAGGTTGGAAGAAAGCTAGGGGCGGCCAAACCAAAACATGGCACAAGTCCATGAAGTCACTGACAAGTGGACTGAGTCATGTTGGTAGGTGTAGACTACCTGGTTGGGGACCGCGAGATGACAGCAACCGATGGTTAGAGACCCTGAATGACATGGCTCAAAATCGTTCGCAATGGCGCAGGTGCATCCACTCTCTGTGTTCTCCCAAACTCTAATCTTCTGAATTCTTCATGTCCCTTTTTCCCTCTTTCCAAATTTCTTTCACTGGATTATACTCTTTAAATAACATCTCCAAACCCTAATCTTCCCGATTACTGCTTATACTCTTGCTACCTCTACCACTACGGGATTTGACTCGACCACTGCATCTCTGTGCTAATGTGGTGTGGCAACTCGAACTGATGTACGTACGTACGAAGTTCTACGTTGTTACTGACTGACTGACTGACTGAGGATGTATTGATCATATCTCCACCCTCCGCCAAATGTTAGAACACCGTCATACTTATCAAAGGCCAACATCAGGGCTGCCTTCGATTCGTTGGACAGGACTGTTCTCTGGGATTGTCTATTGAAGAAGGGTGTGCCTGAGAAGTTGTTTAACATCCTAGAGGCCCTATATACAAACACCTCAGACAGAGTGAGGGCATACAACCACCTCTCTCCATTGTTCCATTCGAGCAGTGGGGTTAGGCAGGGTTGCCCAATCTCACCATTCCTCTTCAACTTTGCCATCGATGACATTCTGGAAACAGCTCTGATGAATGTAAGTAATGGTGGTGTGGATCTGTTGCCTGGAGAAAGACTTCTCGACCTTGAGTATGCGGACGATATTGTCTTACTGTGCGATAATGCTCAAGGCATGCAATCCGCACTTAATCAGTTGGCAATCAATGTCCGTAGGTATGGTATGTGCTTTGCACCTTCGAAGTGCAAAGTACTTCTACAAGACTGGCAGGATTCTAATCCTGTACTCACCGTGGATGGTGAGTAGATAGACGTAGTCGTGAAGTTCGTGTATCTGGGTAGCTGCATAAGTGCTGGTGGGGGTGTGAGTGATGAGATCAATGCACGTATAGTGAAAGCCAGAGCAGCTTATGGCAATCTGGGCCATTTTTGGTGCCTTCGTGATGTTAGTCTGGCTGCTAAAGGTCGGATTTACAACGCCTCAGTGAGAGCAGTTTTGCTCTATGCTTGTGAAACCTGGCCTCTCCGAGTTGAGGATGTTAGACGACTGTGTTAGACCATCGTTGTCTCCGAAGGATTGATGACATTCAGTGGCAACACCATGTCAGTAATGCAGAGGTTCGGGATCGTGTGTTAGGGCAGAGAGACGATAATGCAATTGGTGTCACTATCTTGAAACACCGACTTCGATGGCTCAGACATGCTCTACGAATGCCGTCCCAGAGAATTCCACATCGTGCATTATTTGCCGACTCTGGGATTGGTTGGAAAAAGCGGAGAGGTGGTCAGTATATGACATGATGTCGTGTCATGAAATAAATCTGTAAAGGACTGGATTGTGTTGGCCCTTCACGACTCCCTGGCTGGGGTCCGAGAGATGTTGCTACACAGTGGCTAGAGACGTCATCAGATATGGCTGAGAATAAAAGCCAGTGGCGATCCTGCTATAACCTTATTTTACTTTCTTCATAAGAAAAGTGGTTTTATCTTCCTTAACCGAAAGATTTGTTCTGATTGTACCTTTCCGTTCCCCCATTATTATTATTATTACACTAACTTACACCAATCTCTTCGTTATCATTCTCTCTTTTTTACGCTCCTTACCGTTTTTCTTTTTCCTTCTATTAAAATTCTCATTGTTTTGTGTGGAGCATATATATTTGGCGCACTCATATACCAATATTTATGTGTTCAAATAAATAATAACTCTCTTATCTCCACAACTAACCGTTCTTACATTCCTTTATCACCTCGCGCCACTAATGCAAACGATTCGAGTACGCGGAACGTTATTCTCGATCTTCTGGAACCACGCTCTAAATTACATGTACAAGCCTTTAACGTTCGAACACTGTGCCGAATAGGACAACAGGTTTCCTTATCTGGGACTTTAGAATCACGCACTGTTGACGTATAGTGCACCTCCGAAACGTGTATACTGGACCCAAGGAGCGTCATTCATTTGACCCCACCATATCAAAATAGAGAACAATCTCGATTCACGCTTCGTGTATCTGAAAGCCCTGATGCTGCTTCCCGTGGTCTCGTTGGTATATGTATAGCATTGAGTCTTAGGGCAGAACTAGCTATCTTAGACTGGATACCAGTAGACAGTCGTTTGTGCGCTGTCCAACTAAACGGAACAGTAAGGACTCGGAAAGATAGGGACACTCGTCGTTGCCCCTTCGTACTCTGTGCCTATTCTCCCACTGCAGCTCAGATGAGGAAAAAAGATGAGTTTTACAGAAAGCTTTCTGACCTCCTCATAAAAGTTAAGCGCTCTGATGTAGTACTAGTGATTTCAATGCTCAAGTAGGTAAACTAAACGAAAAGGATAGACACCTGGGTATATCTTATGGTGTCGTGTCTCAAAGAACAGATAATGGCGACCGTCTGTTGCAGCTATGTTCAGATAACCGCCTGTTTCTTGCAGATACTAACTTGAAGCATAAGCGAAAACATCTTTTGACATAGCGGCTCCCGAATTCAACCGAACGTTGAACCCAAATAGATCACATCGCTATCAGCCACCGATGGAGGGGCTCGATAGAAGACTGTCGCCCGTTCGGGAGCATATGCTTAGATTCAGATCATGCTCTGGTGCGAGCGCGAAATCGTCTGCTTCCTAATGGACGTAGGAAAGACAACGTAAAGATACCTCTCAGGTTCCTACTCAATGATAGCCAAGCTAAGAATATATTTCAGGAACAACTAGAAAAACAGTTAGGCAGCCATGTAAGTGATGCCCACCCCGAGGCAGCATGGAATGATATCCGAGAGGATTTGGAAACAACAGAGATATCTGCTAGTAAGGTAAACCATAAGGTTTGGGAGGAAATACTGGATCTCAGTGGCATCTACCACACTGATAGATGCTCGGAAACTCCCACCTGGCTCTGAACATGACGAAGAGCGGAGGCAGTTTAAGCGCAAACTGATGAGAAGTCTACGCGATGATCGCGAACAGTGGTGGGTAGCGAAAGCAAGAGAGATGGAAAAGGCAGCGGCAATAGGCTACAGCAGATAACTTTTCAGAATCGTCAAGTAAACCGTTATTAGGAACCCGACTGTTAGCGAAACCATCTTGGAAAAGATGGACATATGATTCACTGTCAATCCAGGAGATTTGATCGATGGGCAGAACACTTTAGGGATCAGTTCAACTGGCCTTCAGCCACACTTCGGTTTCCCACGATCTCCAGTCGACCTTAATGGCAAGTTGATGTAAGTTCTCCAACTCTTTACGAACTTGAAAAAGCTATAGGGAGAGTAGCAGGCCCTGACAGGTTTATCCCTGAGATTTTTAAGAATGGCGGTCCAGTATTAGCAGTGAGATTGACTGAGGTCTTAGGTAGAATCTGGGAACTGGACGTAATCCCATTTGACTGGTCGATAAGGAAGGACAAAAGTTTTCTTATGGCAATCAAAGAGGAATCAGTTTGATTAATATAGTGTCTAAAATATTAGCTTCAATAATAATTTGACGCCCAAATAAATCTCGCGAAGAGCAGACTAGAGAAAACCAGGCTGGTTTCCGACCTGAACTAATGATAAGGATTGAAGTAATTGAGCGGGTCGACCACCTATCTTGGTAGTCTCATCAGCCTTTGTGGTCTGGTGTGACGAATTTTGAGCACGGATACGGAAGGCTTGACTAGCTTTTGCCAACTTGCGTAATTTATGGCGTAGGCGAGATATCCATCTATCAACCAAATGAGGACGTGTTTACTGCTCAGAAGTTCGTTCCGTCCTACATTATGGCAGTGAAACATGGCCGGTAGGAGTAGAGAATATTTGTAGGCTGCTAGTATTTGATCATAGGTGTCTTCGAAAGATTGCTCGTATCCTTGGACCACCAAGTAGGTAATTCAGTTGTTAGGAAACGGGTACTAGGTAAGGATGGCAAATCAATTGATGAAGTGGTGAAACTTAGTCAGTTGAGATGGCTGGAACATGTGTTACATGTACCCAACCATCGACTGTCCTGACATGCGGTATTTTATGGTGTATTTATTTATTCGAACACATATTGGTACAGGAGAGCGCCAATATGCGCCACACAACAATGAGAATTCGAAGAGAAAGAAAGCTAGGGGCGGCCGGACCAAAACATGGCACAAATCCATGAAGTCATTGACTAGTGGACTGAACCATGTTAGTAGGTGTAGACCACTTGGTTGGGATCCTCAAGACGATAGCAACCGATGGTTAGAGACCCTGAATGACATGGCTCAAAATCGTTTGCAATGGCGCAGGTGTATCATCCACCCTTTGTGTTCTCCCAAATTCTAATCTTCTTAATTTTTATGTCCTTTTTTCCTGTATCTCTGTGCTAATGTGGTATGGCAACTCGAACTGATTTATGTACTTACGAAGTTTTATGTTGTTGACGACTGACTGACTGAAGAGTGTGAAATAAACAGGGTCCAAATAACAGACACTGAACAACTCAATCAGGATCAGAGTAAACAACATGGATAAACCGAAATGAATGAGCCGTGCTAAGAATTAGTCCATTATTTGAAGTTATCATGGTGATAGCTTGAGGAAGTGATGAGAGAGATAAAAATGATCAGACATGGTTCAAGTTGGTAGTTTTTGTTGTTGTTACAGTTGTATTGCACGATACGTCAAATTTAAAAACATTACACGAAGACATGAAACTACTTGGGTAAAGTGTAGCCAAGAATATCCAAATATTAGACAATTTTCCAGCATTACCCTATATTTAAACACTTTCACAATCATATAGTGACATGAAAATAAACTGGATATTAAATAAAATATCAAATAATATAAGACTGAAAGAGACTTACTTTCCAAAGCTTCGGACTTCGTTTTACTATACAAAAAAAAGATTGTGGATAAGAATGTTCATTAAAATGACAAAACAAGAAAAACACAGTAATTGTAAAATTACAAGCCCCATTTGTAGGACAAAACCAGCTGAAAAACAATACTTTTCCGAAACCGAGCTAAATATGGTCGACTTTCCTTGACAGCGATTTGAAAACTAGTGAGGTTCATTCTCAATAGACTTATCAATGACATCCAATTAACTTGATATTTTATGAGATGTTCAGTCGGACAAATTACCATAGTATGTTATAAACCAATGATTTGAATAACAACAAAATAACCATTTTGCTAATTTCACAGAGAAATCATCAGAAATATTAGTTACTGTGATTCCGATTTACGAATGTAGTTCCAGTCCTTAAAAATAAAGGTTAGTAATGTAACTATTTGTTTATTTATACTTGTGATTATATTGTAAGTACGAGGTTTATCAAGATGTTCAACTCCGGTCCAACATTGTTTTAGGCAGACAATCGCCAAGTACTGGACAAACTTCTCACTCCATTACTAAGAACTTTATAAATCCAGCGTGCCGAGTGTACAACACGTTTACAGCTTACTTTCTGATGTGAAAATGTCCTCATATACTGCATAACATTTATATATCCTTGGTGTACACGAACTGAGATGACGTTTAACAATCCCCACATGTTTGTCACTCGTTTAGTGAATGATTTGAACCCTGCCCAAAACACGTCGTGGTATGAAAATCAATACACCAAGAACTTTGGCATTCCTACCAATCTCTGAAAATCGTGATTATAAACGTGTTAGATTGTATTTAGGAAACACTGACTGAAGTTAGGAAATGAAGGTTTCTTGTAAGGTTGAGATCTAACCAACCAGGCTTCGACGTCCACAAGTTAACAGTGATTTTAAGTAAAGGCATAACGGAAACAAGCAGTTACATCTCTCTAAATATTAAGCTGGTAAATACAACTAATCTGATGCATCTACAAACACCAAGGAGAACAAGTGACATGCCAGAAAAGACGGTTAAAACTGACAGTTATGCAGTTGACATGGATTTTTATAATAAATTAATCGATAACCAACCTTACAGTTGGTCAAGATCATGTTTTAAGATCTTTGATAAGGCGATCTCGTCCCTTGGACCAGCGCTAGCTGAAGCTAAACCCTCACTAACAAAAACTCAAGTAAATGGTGGATAAACCGGAACTTACAAGACATATACAAAATAAATTTTAAGGGAAATTACCTCATTGAACCCTCATCTGGGGGTTCTGTTATAGTTGATTGTGACTTGGCAACTGTTTCTTCTCCTTCGTTTAATAAGCGTAAAGTATCCAAATACTTCTCCTCTTCTTCGGCTGGCCATTCAACCTCAGCCGTCGCACCATCAGTGCTGGCAGTGTCTCCAGATGGTGAAGTCCAATATCTGTGATCGGATAAAGGAACATCAGAAGACAAGGTTGCAGCACTCTCCTTACTGGCAGTCATATCATATTCATATTTTGACGGATCAACAAATGAAGCATCATAAGTTGCCAAGACTTGACCATCGCTAGTATACAATAAACGGATGTGTGGGGTTGACTCAAGTTTATCTTTTCCCAATCCCTCGGCTCGTAAAAGGTGACTAGGAGCGCTATGTGCAAGACCAAAACGTCTAACTGGATATGCAGATGCGGAAGTAACGTTGTTAGAACCATCAGATAAGTGACATCCCATAGCAGTCACATTGGCGAAGCTCCACGGATTTCTTTTAATAGCGTCTAGCAAAGATGCGCGTTCACGAGGTTCAACTGTCCAGAAAGCACCTCGACCGGGGCCCTATTTGAAGATAGAAAGAGACGGAAGTAGAGATGAGAAGTAAGCAACAGAAGAGGTTAATTGTCTACACAACAAGCATTTACATAAATTTTGACAATTAATACGATACAACACGAGTAACACGGGTGCGTCAGGAAATATTAGTGATATAAAAGGTGCATTTGTTGTGCGTATGACAATCTCTATCACCTCATCATCATCAAAATCCTCATGCTCCTGTTTCTGAGAGCACAGCATATCGAGGCTACGACAGTTCAAAATATTAGGTTCAATCTGTGTAAGGGAAGAAAACAAGCTTATGGGTAAATCTCGTACAGTCCCAAAACTAAACACGACAAAAGGACTTAAACTTACACGGCTATCACGAGGTAGGCGCTTGAAAGACTTATTGATCGAAAGATTATGTCTAAGAGAATTTTTCCATCCAACACCAGCATGTTTATAGAATGGGAAATTTGATTCACACCAGTTGTAAATTTGATTGACAGTCATGCATTTTTGTGGAGTAGACTCAATTGCCATAAATATAAGGTGCGTATAGCTGTAATTCGGCTTTGTAAGACCATGGGTGCCAAGAGGAACAGTAGGGTTTGTTGAGAAACGCGATTGTTCGTTATGAGAGAGCTGATCTCCAGAAACAGAAGCAGGTCGTCGGACACATCTGTCTAGAACTGAAAACTGTGATACAGGCATTAGTGAAGGTGAACGGTTGACAACAGGCTCCAACGAATCCATGTGCACGATAGGATTGCTCTCGAAATTATCGTCGTCCTCCGTTTGTCCGGCGATTGCCGAACTAACGGAATCACTCCCGTCCTCTTCTCCATCTAACGGAGCTATCTGCAAAATATCTCTTTTCTGAAGCCATGCCAAAGAAACCAAATCATTTGGGGTTGAAACTAAATCACTGGAGTGATTTACAGACCATGTGTCCAGTAAAACGCCACTCTTATCAGAATCCGGATTGTTTATGACGGTCATATCAACATCTAATGGAGATAATTTATCGATATCAGAATAAGAGTATAGAGCATGTGAATGCCTTTTATCCATACAATAATAAAGAGCTGAAATAGAAAGTGACCGAAATATTTGCAAATGAATCTACTGACAAGGTCTGTGCACGCTTCAGCAAAAAATAGCATCAAGACACATCATCAAATATTTTATTAACATACCAAAGTGAGAATAACTACCAACCAAGATTTACACCATTATTAGACTTGAAAGGCACGAAAGCGTCATTAACAACGACTGCGCCAAACGACTTCCGGTGAAGGAGTATAGAAAAAGCAATTGAAACTTTGATCGAGTGTAACTCATACACTTGAGAAAATCGGTACAAGATGCAAATTTCCCATTTAGTAGCTCAAAGTAAATCGCAGTCCAAAAGATAGCTATTATATGACCTAATTTGCAGTTTATTCAAAATATTGCTGGATAAATATATAAATAGTAAACACTTATTTGAGTTCCTGGAATATATTATGGTAACTGGTTACGTTCGGCAAACAATTTTATAGTCATCTGACATTGATACTGACCTTTTCAGTTTGTATTAACACCAATGACAAGTCGTCCGGTAAACAATCACGGTCATGTTAAGAATGTAGCGGTAAATGAACCCAGAAAAAAAAGCTCTGTAAGTTCTCGACATTGAACGCTGACCAGATTAGTTTTAGTGGACTCATCTAGCTGAAGGTGCTCGGCCAGGCATTCCCACCAGATCACGTGTGGGAACGCCGTGTTCAGCATCTACTGCAATCGCTAGCCAGATTAGATCAGACAATTCTGATATATTAACAATCGTCAAATACAATTTCTGATCTCCTCGATTCTGTCTTTTGATTGCTCTTGGTGGGTAGGAGTTATATTAGAAAGTGTAACTGGTAAAAGCGTTGCCAAACACTGAATACCTGTGCCATCTCCAAGAAGAACCCTTCTTGAGACCGTTCGTCACCTTTGCAATGGTAGTTGTACTTCTCTCTTTACATTTTCCATTTTTTCTAACATTTAATGACTGAAACGGTGTACCAAGTTTGATGAAGTTAATTCTTGACTCCGCGGTAACAAAAACATCTATGCATCTCATTTGTTGAGGCGTAAAAAACCAAGTTGGGAACCACACTGTTTGGGATGAGTTGTGGATTAACTAGAGCAAATCAGGATCCCATCTATGTCCCCATCCGTTTACTTAATATATGAATTCTAATTTTTGTGCGAAGATCAAATAGACCCTTCAATATTAGGATCGTTGATAACTTAATAAAAAAGCTTTCACATAAATCATCATAATATGTCTTCACAATCGTTTGTTTGAAACGGAACATAAATATCAGAACATCGGAAATTACTTCAAAATATAGTGACATTCGAACAATGATTGAAAACTTGCCTATCCTGGCATACAGATTTGCCCTATTTTTAGCAATCTCACACTCAAGTAATTAGTGTTAAGTTGTCTTTAGTGACCAGATATTTTCCTGCTTATTTTAATCACAACCTGACCCCGGCGAATAGTACGAATCTCGGGTCTAAGAATCTCCGTAACAAAGTTCGAGGTGAAATGTTATTTCTATGATGTTTTAGCAAAAAACACCAGTACCATGATTTGAGCAGAATCATCCTATAATGAAAATTTTACTTCCTATCAGTCATATTTGCTCTTTTTGTAACACAAATGCCACCCTGGCAACATAAACATTGACGTTTACTCAAAAATTTGTTCAAGATGATCAATCTTCTTGATATTTCATCCAATTAGTTTCGTTTGTGAATTTCAATGGAGCCAGAAGAAACATGGGTACAGAATGATATGAATTCATTATATTTCGTGGTTTCTCATCAGTTTCTTATGATCGAATATGTTTAAATTTTACATAGAGGTAAGATATAATATGAAACAACTGACATAAGTGAATGCAAAGAACTGGAATGACGAAGGTTACCAATAATAACTATATATATATCTGTGCAGTAACAGGTCGGAGGTCATTTAGTGTCAGAATAAAAAAAGACATGAGTGAAGTTCAGAGATAGATAAATTTTATGATAATTGCGTAGTAGTTGAACAAGATTTGAAGAATTTACATAATTTGAGAGAATTGAGTTGATGGAGATTTGTGGATGAAGGGGTATTTTAATGTACATAAAATAAGAACTCGGTAATGCAAGAACAACATAACAAAATAAAAGTGATGACCAAAAATGAATAACCAAGTTAGTAAAAGGTTCATTACTGTCTCTCTTTGGATACATCAATCAAGTTTGAGCTTTCTTCACCGAAGGGAAGCAGTGTGTCTTTGTCTGCTAATAATTTTGAATGCTTGGTGAATGTCAGTGGTATACCTGGTGTCAAGTAAATGCTGAGTTGTTGCACTGTTAAGAGCCGTTGCCCCTAGCAGTCTCAATTTCGTTGGGACATGCTCGGAAATGCGAACGTGTACTGTCTTCTCGGTTCTGCAAATGTATGTGTTTTGGCACGTACATGCAAATTAATAAATATAGTTGAAGCTACTGAGGAAAGAGGGCCTGTCAAGTTTATTTTGTTTGGGCAAGCGGTTTGTTTCCCAGAATTTTGTCAGCTTCGCCAATGGGTAAGTCACCTTCAACGAGAAATTTATCCTATGACTAATCATTCCAGTAGTTTCATATTTTTTAAAGCCCAAGTACTGTATCGTATTTAAGTCAAATGTTGATTTTAGCATACTTCTGGATGAACTTCTCCGGATATGCATTTTTTCGTAGGTAATTTTTAATAAGAGCAATTTTACCTTTCAGGCATTTTTTGGGCAAACTTTACGTGCGCGGTAAAACAGAGTTCGTACAATACGCTTTTTGCAACTCATTGGACAGAAACCGTTGTAGTTGAGATAAACTCCACACCTGGTATTTTTGCAGTGAATGTGTCTCTGTAATGTGCTGTCTGAGGTTCTTCTGATTCCAATATCTAGGAAATGTAATGTACCTTCTACTTCGCGTTCCATAGTAAAATCTATATCCTTGTGTGCTTTATTAAACAGATTGAGTAGGTTTATAGAATGCTTGTGATTGTTGCAGAGGAGAAAATTGTCATCAGTATATTCACAATGGAGTATAGTTCCACCGATTGCGTGTTTGTGCTGTTCCGGGCGTCCCATAAATATGTCGACCAGAATTGAATCCAAAGAGCTACCCATGGCTACTCCATCAATTTGGCGGTACAACACATGGTTAAATTGAAAATGTATGTTTTTGGTACACAGAAACAGGGTGCCAGTTTCTTACAAATTGGTTCCAGGCACCTTGTCAGCCAGTTTATGGGAGGGTGATTTGGTCATGGATAATATTGAAGTCATCGGGATTGTGGGTTTGTGTGATTCAGGTAGGCCGTATAATTGTGGTCCTTTCGTTTTCAGTTCATTGTACGTATGAATATCTATTATATTTTTCTTTAGGAGATTTCTCAGCTTTTTAAGATGGCGCTCCTCAGTTATATCTGTTAGGTCTTTTTGAGCATTATCGATGATAAATCTCGTGGAATCATTTAGTAATAATAATAATAATAATAATAATAATAATATATTTCTGCATGTGCAGGTACACACCGTTTTTACAGGCATGATCTATAAATAACAACATTTGTTGGTTCGCAAAATGCTTCCCAACTTATTAAGTTTATAGTTGTTATAAAGTGAAATCGTAGAGCGCTTGCTGTAAACTATGACCTTGAGAGGACGCGTACGTTAAGTTTGCTCCAAACGTCAGAAGTTTCATAGCTGTGCTCTCAGAGCAAGATTCTGAAAAAAAGAAAGAAACAGAGGAGCAGCAAGGCACTTGGATATGAACGCCAAAGGTTGCTTAACATTGTGTAGTGAAACTGACATTACTTTGCTAATGTATTCATCACTGTTTAGGTTGACTAAATCGGAACCCTGATCCGGAATATGAAATTTAAGTCCAAGAGAGAGTGACTCCGTTTGAATCCCTGATATCCAGATTACTTGTGGCACAGCATCAATAGGCAGCTCTGGTCTACCCCTTCTCTTTAAGCCAGAACTCAAACTAGTCATCATGAGTGTTCCTCGCAAGTGTCAGCCATGACAAAGTCTAACACAAAGGACAAGTTTGTCATATTCAAACCAAGGGTCCGACTGAAGAATAGCCGTATAGGTGGGTTAGATACGCGCCCTTGCCTAGTTGAAATAAAAACAAAGTGATTGGGTAAAATAAAGGTTCATAAATTCGTCATAAATTTAAATGTACATTACTACTTAAACAAATATGACCACCCATCTATCCAACCAGTAATTTTTCAGTTCATCAAATCTAAATCACAATAAATAAGAAAATTTATAAAGGATGAGAGAAAATTATCAACAGATTCGTTCAAAAGATAATATTTGGTTGCTTTATAACACAGAGTGTTTCCAAGTAAAACAACATAAATGCAGTTCAGAAAGAAACATGGAAACTTAGAGAAGGCGTGTAAAAATAAAAACTATAATAAAATACAAATATTGCCAACTCAAATGGAATCAACAAGGCTAACAAAATGTACAACTAAAGGAATCAATAGGAAGGAACTGCAAGTATATACATGGAGGAATTTTCACACACAAAACATCCAAAATGGATCTTACAAAGGGTGTCTTGGAATTTCGATAGTGCAAACGTTAATACAGTTTCAGGCACCAGAGACCAATCACATCACATGTTTAAAATCCAGTTACAAAACAGATTGGGACCCTAATATCTACATTTCGGCGTTGTGTTAAATGAGATTGTATTAGTTCATGCCTACATAAAACCCAACACGAAGGATAATGTAATGGGCTTAAAAATCTGCCGGTGTCACCCTTAGTACATCTGCATTACGGTGGCTCACTGGCGCAAGGTGATCGGCAAATACTCTTATTAGTAGCTCTATCTTTAGTAGTGTTATACATGCCTAAATATTCAGGCGATTATCTATCTTTTCTCGAAACACGATCATTGAATCATCGACCTTGAGACGTTGTAGCGTATGAGCCTCTTGATCTATTCAACCGAGATGACAGTGGTATCACACAAGGCTTCCTCACTCATCTGTCACTGACTGAAATTGTGAAGTCCAGAACTCGTGGAAACTGTGGGTTACTCGTTAGTCGAGACATGCCCGTTAAGCTAATTAATCAAAAACCTATCAGCTAAATGAATGAGGTGTACTGAATAAAAAAATCACGCATAAGAAGAACAGATGTACGATACCTGTACGGTTTTGAACCATATCTATTCAGTCCACAGAAATTAAAAAAATAGGTTAGTTTACTTCAAAGGAGGTTAAATAAATACAATACAATGCATTAAAAACTG